ATTAGTCTCACTCCTCTCCATCCTTAAATCACAAGTCACATATTAGTCTCACTCCTCTCCATCCTGATTCATCCTTAAATAATAAGTCACATATAAGTCTCACTCTTCTCCATCCTTAAATGACAAGTCACATATTAGCATCACTCCTCTCCATCCTTAAATCACAAGTCACATATTAGCATCACTCCTCTCCATCCTTAAATCACAAGTCACATATTAGTCTCACTCCTCTCCATCCTTAAATGACAAGTCACATATTAGTCTCACTCCTCTCCATCCTTAAATCACAAGTCACATATTAGTCTCACTCCTCTCCATCCTTAAATCACAAGCACACATATTAGTCTCACTCCTCTCCATCCTGATTCATCCTTAAATAATAAGTCACATATTAGTCTCACTCCTCTCCATCCTTAAATGACAAGTCACATATTAGCATCACTCCTCTCCATCCTTAAATGACAAGTCACATATTAGTCTCACTTCTCTCCATCCTTAAATGACAAGTCACATATTAGTCTCACTCCTCTCCATCATCATCCATCCTTAAATAACAAGTCACATATTAGTATCACTCCTCTCCATCCTGATCCATCCTTAAATGACAAGTCACATATTAGTCTCACTCCTCTCCATCCTCATCCATCCTTAAATGACAAGTCACATATTAGTCTCACTCCTCTCCATCCTCATCCATCCTTAAATGACAAGTCACATATTAGTCTCACTCCTCTCCATCCTTAAATGACAAGTCACATATTAGTCTCACTCCTCTCCATCCTGATCCATCCTTAAATGACAAGTCACATATTAGTCTCACTCCTCTCCATCCTGGTCCATCCTTAAATGACCATAGCTTATATCAGAATCTAAAACAATATAAAACCAAATCCAATCTTGATTTTGCCACCGAAATGTATAAAATTTAATTCAGTTGTTTCCGTATTCACATGTATAGTGCACCGGTGTGGACATCGTGAACATCAGGATGGATGTCACAAGGCATAGGGCTATATAAGGCATGGATGTGGATAATGTGTCTTTCGAGTTCCTTGCACATTACTACAACATGAACATTGGTTTATTTTTACCAAAAAAAATTTTCAAGATGTTTACTTATATATATATATATTTTCCTTTGAAATATATTAATTATAGGTATAGGTGTATGCCAGCTAACAGGGGATATACATGTAGGTCTTTGGGCGATGAATTTTGCTAGCAGGGGATATACATGTAGGTCTGTTGGGGCGATGAATTTTGCTAGCAGGGGATATACATGTAGGTCTTTGGGGCGATGAATTTTGCTAGCAGGGGATATACACGTAGGTCTTTTGGGGCGATGAATTTTGCTAGCAGGGGATATACATGTAGGTCTTTGGGCGATGAATTTTGCTAGTAGGGGATATACATGTAGGTCTTTGGGCGATGAATTTTGCTAGTAGGGGATATACATGTAGGTCTTTGGGCGATGAATTTTGCTAGTAGGGGATATACATGTAGGTCTGTTGGGGCGATGAATTTTGCTAGCAGGGGATATACATGTAGGTCTTTGGGGCGATGAATTTTGCTAGCAGGGGATATACATGTAGGTCTGTTGGGGCGATGAATTTTGCTAGCTGGGGATATACATGTAGGTCTGTTGGGGCGATGAATTTTGCTAGCAGGGGATATACATGTAGGTCTGTTGGGGCGATGAATTTTGCTAGCAGGGGATATACATGTAGGTCTTTGGGGTGATGATTTTGGTGCAGGAGTATATTGACTTTGATGTTTATGTGGATAAATAGAATGAGAAATGAGCTACTATCCCATTTACTTGTTTGTTATTTATTTGAAACTAATTATTTTATGTTCGGATGAATGTGACGAGAGAGAACAAAACAAAAAATAAAGAGCTGCATTGAGTCCTATTTAGTTTCCCCTAATATCACATCAGTGAATCAATTCTGCCCTGAGTTTCATAGATACTTTGCAACAGCCTAACCATAAGGATTTAGGAGTTTTTAATTAATCTATTTATTCATTTCAGTATATTTCACTGGATGAACTTGAATGGTGTCAGGCAACTGACAATGCCTACAGAAGCCTTCATCATACAATAGTTTAAGCATACAAATTGTGGTGATTGTAAAAGATATCAATATAATACTAGTAATTATAATGGGAAAGATTGATATTATTGTAAAGATTGTGATATCATAAATTAAAATCATATATCCTAAACATTTGTACATTCACATAATAATTAGTGTCTGTTCATTACCAAACATCGCCAAGACCTCCACAATTATATTCAAAGTGATTATCTAATAATTATCAGTATCAATAAGGAATATCTAAATCAAATCTATAAGTAGACATACACCTATCGAGACAGCGGTCAGATATAGAGTCTGTTTGGAAAAGTAAAACAAGAAAATACCAACATGTCAACACAACCATGACCGAATTCAAATTCAATAAAACTAGTGACAAATATGAAAAAAAGAAAGATCTACTTGGAGACTACTGTAAAAGTACAAGGTGAATAAGACCTGGTGTTCCGGAAGAATAAGTGTCTTCTGCTTTATCGATCACATACGCAAAGTTTTCTGGCTTACCTCCCTTTTGAATCCAGCGTTAATCATTTCTAAGCGATCCCATTCTCTGTTTGAAAATTGAAAATTCCAGAGACACAGGTCAAAGTTTATGGTTTCAGTACTACTTTAAGAGTGGGGATATTCGTAAAAGCCCACAGCTTCTGGATTTCAACTGGTATCAAATGACATTACTGAAATGAGGGAACATAATTTATTGTGCATTTGCTAATTGTTATCCGATAATTGATCGATTTGGATTAAGAATAACAGGGGTCGAATGTAAGGGCTGGTGAAGCACATAATGATCGATCAAAAATTAACCTGAAGAACATGTATTGATTTATCAAAGATAAAGAAAAAAACATTTTAAGTCTTGCTACCGTTTCTTAATTGGCGAATCAATTATACAATACAACTTATGGATAATGTTGTTGGACAATTAGGTAAAAGAATAAAAAAAATAAACATTTGTATTTTACGTGTTACCAGAGACATATATAACACGTCTCTGGTGTTACTTACTAACGAAATATAGTTCGGTGATCACGGAGCTCTGCACGTGCATCTAGTAAAGGTCATAGTGAAGGTCAATGAAATCTGGCAGGTGTTGTTGTACCGGAACACTCGCTTTTAAGATCGAAAAATTTAATGAAAAATAAAACATTCGAATTTGTTACATATCATGAAATATCATAAAAACTGTTTAACAAGTCTTAAACCGTGTCAGAAATACCTCTGCTACATACGTAACAGAGTGATTACGTAAACATTTACAAGATGTAAATTACAGCCGACAGAAGACCATAATGTTTAATCGAACATGTCTTGTTTGCAATCAGTTTGCAGAATTTTAAAGATGTGACCTTTCCGGTAGTCTATCTTTTGATGTATACTGTGAGTGTGTAAACTGTTTATGGTACGCAAATTTGAATACATACTGTCAGACGTTCAACAGGTTTCTTATCCTAGATGAAAGATGTGTTAATTATGTAATGGGGGGGGGCTGTTAATATTTCCAGGTTCTCCAGCCATGAAATGTTAACAATGGCAAAATTTTGAAAACTATGTCTTATTTTCTTATATTCAGACATTTAAAAATTTCGTATGTTTGGGAAAACTAGTTCTTATATCAGGTAATTTGTTTGTTTAGGGTTAATTAAACATCCTCCCGACAACCAGAGTTGTATGAAGACAGGCTTCCACAGGATACCAAATACAAATAGTACAGGGTCGACAAAGAATCACAGGTAGAAGAAATAAGCCACAAATGTTGATGGGTTTGTTAGTTGTTAAAAGTTACTGGGAGAAAATTTAAAAAAAAAAAACATACTAAAATCATACTTTGAAGTGATTCATCTACCACGTTGTCTAATTTGTAACTTGCATTGTATTTGTAAATGACATTTCCATTCAGGTAATTGGGTACTTGCGAGAGTGAAGAATCTATCATATGTCCATGGTTCAATAGGTATATCAAGCAAATTTAGAATTTTGACCAGTATCATAATATGATGAAAGTTTCACAATTTCTAAGACTACATTTGTTTAAACTATTTACATTTTACAATGTAAACGACTTCCGAGTAGTTATGATGTGAGGATGCCAGGGTATAACTTTAACTACACTGACACCTTCATCAGAATATGTACACTAAAACAGAAATTCTGAAAACAAGGTCTCCATAGAATGAATTAAAAAATCAAAACATGTTGACTTAGCCATACTCTTTACATAAATTAGGTAGTAACAATACCAATCTATGTCCCCCCTCATCCTGATTTACAACCGCTCTACTACTGCAGATGGCTAAGGGATATCGTCATCAATGTCATCACCCTAATTCTTGATTTTCTTTTTCACACAACCAAAATGTTTGTATTTTTCATGTTTGATGTATGGACTACAAAGACAGGTGATGATGTTGACTCTCATTCACAGAAAGTCTAATAAATAGCCAAGCGGCCTGATGTCAGGAGTGTTGATATCAACAGGATAACCTACACTGGCCTGCTTTAATGCCTAGTAAACCTTGAACAATTTGGATTACATTAGTCACTGCTTAGTTAAAACAATGGTATATAAGGTATATAATGATATATAGTACAGTGATTATTTGGCAACATATTTATTCAAGCAAATATGAAATTTACTCATGTGAATTAAGTTTTCAGTGCAACAGACAATTGTTTCATTTTCACTGATGTATCATTTTCATTAGGATCTTATAGAAAGGTACTTGTAATGTGTATTTTCTGGTTGTGCATACTGTCACTAACAATGTTTGTTTATCTGTACTTTCAAGTTCTTTAAACTTTCAATAATTAATGAAACAGGCTATCGCTTGTTAGTGCTGTTAGTGTCTATTGGAGGTGGCAAGGAAAGGGGCAGGGTAAACAACATAAGAAATACAAAAATGCTTTACAATTCTAAAAAGTATTTTATTCCACCACAAAAAAGTTGATATATTCTCAAAACATAAGAATTATGTCAAATATCACATGTTTTCAATAAACAGACAATTAGCGGGTGAAAATATGAGTGTCAGCAGACACTCCACCAGGTAAAAATTTCCAACTAGGATTAATAATTTTATTATCATTCCTTTTGCTAAAATTCAGGTGCAGCACTATATGTCATTAACACTTTCTGTGTTGTACAAAAATCTGACAAAAATTAAAGCCATTTCAGCTTATTTTTACAGGTATGTCTTTCAAATACAGCCTGAATCTTTCCTAATAAGGACACTTGTCAGTTAATCTTAGTTGATGTTATGACTTTGTGAGGTTCATCCATAACTCTGGAAATATACAGGATTTATACAAATCATTCTTAAAACACACTGTTTATGTACACTTGACATACATAGCACTGAATTGATAAATACAATCATACCATACATCATCTCTCTATAATAATTACACTATTAATAAATGGAAGTTCAACTAACTCAACAAAAAACCCATGAAGAGTGCGGGTACAGTTCTTAGATGGCGTTGAGTGGTAGTGGTGGAGGGGTTGGGTGGTAGTGGTGGAGGGGTTGGGAAGTCAAGGTTATAGATCTTGGGAAATAGAAAATCCTTTGCAATTTGTTTGATAGTTGGTAATCATGTTTAAGTTAATATCATTTGTAAACAAAATAAAGAGAGTTATCAAGAGTCAGCTAGTCATAAAACGAACAAGGGAAGGTATATCTACCACAGCTATCGCATTATATTTGATAACCAATAGTTCTACTAATACAATTGTCTTATATTTTATAAGTTATCTTGAAGAATGATGTCATTACGCAATGTCATTTGCAGCATAGCATTACCAAGCATTTTTTTTACCCATCAAGGCTTTTTTCAGTTTATTCCACAAGTGTTCAGTATTAGCATAACTAAAGGGGACCAGTATAACAAGGTACAGGTTTTTGTATCCTTGTTCTTTTGTTTTTTCAATAAAAATTTTCAGAAACCTTGTAAGGTTCCACTCTACTTGATGATAAACACCATTTATAACTATCCCAGTCATGTACTTTTGTCACAAGATTAAAACTACTTCATAACAACAAATTTTTTACAATTTTATATTAATGTTCAACAAGGAGAGAACCTTCATGTTAAATTCATCCTTATCAAAAAAATATTACTACTTAACCCGCCATATAAGCCACCTGCATAAAAATATCTGCATATAAAGACTATTAATTGCAACAGAAATCATAGTAATTAAACCTCCATAATGTTCACCTGTATATAAAGGCCACCTGCCTATACAGATCACTACCTGTCCATAGAAGAGACCACTTGTACATAGAAGCCACCATTTTCTGCTCCCTTAGATGGTCTTTATAGACAGATCTAACTGTATTCAGTATACAGCTGTTAACTACCGTTGACGGCTACGACGGTTTGATGAACCACAGAATAATTCAAAGACATGGATAGTTCAAGAAATCTTTTTCTTGGTCCCCTGTACTCCTTTAGAGATGAATAGTTTAGATAAGAAACATGTTAATGTAAAAATAAAAACCAGTATGTGAATACATCAACTCCTTGATATGAAAATTTTCTCTCCTTGATGTAATGGAAAGTGTCAATGTAATGGAACAGTACAGTGTGTATCTTCACTAAATCTACTGTAAAAATATCACTAGGTACATAGCCTGGCAGTAAAACAAACAGTAACATCATCAAACAGATTTAATTATAAATGTATATTCTTTATCAAAAACATTTTCACTGTCACCAATATTACACATGGTTCGCTAGCATGAAGCCTAACAATAGACTTCAATTTATGTTCATTAAAAAAAATCAAAAAAGGTGCAAAAATAACAGTGTCATGATATTCCATACAGTTTAAATTTCTTACTGTCATTTGTTCAGTGAAGAGTATAATTTCCTAATCTCTGTCTGGTATAAACTGGTAAACAACCCAAAACCTGATACTGAGGTAACTAGTCATGATTACTCATCAATCAACGTAACACAGATTTTCCATCCAATTTCTGACCATATCTCATGACTTGATAATCAAGTAAACCCATCATAGTTTACTAAATTTAGAACTTTGTTTTCATTTCTCACAAAATACTTTCAATCTCGACTCTCAATCATAATTGTTTTGTGTTATGATTTATCAATATCACAAAAAATCATTGTTCTCTTTTATCTGAAATGTCCATATAAATTATGAAATATTTAATCCAGTCATTTTTTAATCTCCTCCTCCAGTTCTACAATGAGATCCCCTTCATCAACCGTTGCTCCCTGTTGGAAGAAAATCTTCTTAACCTGTGGAGAAAAGATGACAGCACTGGTCAAATTTTCTAAGTGAAACAACAGCACCCGTCAAATTTTCTAAGTGAAACAACAGCGCCAGTCAAATTTTCTAAGTGAAACAACAGCACCAGTCAAATTTTAAATTCAAATGGCAAAATATTAGGGATAATCCAGTAAAGCACCTATCCCACCCCAGGACTCCAGGTTATGTACAGAGCTGCTCCAGGTAAAAATTCTATCCCACCCCAGGACTCCAGGTTTTGTACAGAGCTGCTCCAGGTAAAAATTCTATCCCACCCCAGGACTCCAGGTTTTGTATAGAGCTACTCCAGGTAAAAAATCTATCCCACCCCAGGACTCCAGGTTTTGTATAGAGCTACTCCAGGTAAAAAATCTATCCCACCCCAGGACTTCAGGTTTTGTACGGAGCTACTCCAGGTAAAAAATCTATCCCACCCCAGGACTCCAGGTTTTGTATAGAGCTACTTCAGGTAAAATATCTATCCCACCCCAGGACTCCAGGTTTTGTATAGAGCTACTCCAGGTAAAAAATCTATCCCACCCCAGGACTCCAGGTTTTGTATAGAGCTACTCCAGGTAAAAAATCTATCCCACCCAGGACTCCTGGTTTTGTATAGAGCTGCTCCAGGTAAAAATCTATCCCACCCCAGGACTCCAGGTTTTGTATAGAGCTGCTCCAGGTAAAAAATCTATCCCACCCCAGGACTCCAGGTTTTGTATAGAGCTACTCCAGGTAAAAAATCTATCCCACCCAGGACTCCTGGTTTTGTATAGAGCTGCTCCAGGTAAAAATCTATCCCACCCCATGACTCCAGGTTTTGTATAGAGCTGCTCCAGGTAAAAAATCTATCCCACCCCAGGACTCCAGGTTTTGTATAGAGCTGCTCCAGGTAAAAAATCTATCCCACACCAGGACTCCAGGTTTTGTATAGAGCTACTCCAGGTAAAAACTCTATTCCACCCCAGGACTCCAGGTTTTGTAAAGGGGAACCACCAATAGAATTTCATCAATAATTTGCTAAGAAGTCATGGACAGGAAAACCGTGTATATAAGTGACACATTTTGGAGTCCAAAGGTCAAGTGAGTGTTACTGAAATAGCTTAAATCACAGCACTGTCAAATATCAGTTATAAAAAAAAGCACTATTGATTTTTTAGTTAAAATTGCATAACTGCCCATATTTCTCTCACAAAAATATGTTTTTCCAACAAATAACACCTCTTACCTTGCCAGTCACACCAGCTACTAAACTGTTCTGCATCTTCATGGCTTCTAGGACACAAACCTCCTGGCCTTCACCAATCTTTAAATATGAAATAATTTTATACCAATCATGAAACAAGTTTCATCAACCATCTTTATATAATATGATATAATATATTTTACAACAATTGCGAAACAAGTTATGTCAACTTATACTAATCACTCTTGATGGCCCCGATGTAAGTGTGCGAGGGGTCTTACTGTGGGAGGAAACAGGAGTACCCGGGGAAAACTCACGTGGTCGGGCAGGTGAACCCTTACCTTTTTATGTCCGTTTCGGGAATCGAACCCCGGTCAGCTAGGTGAAAGGCGAGTGCGTTACCACTACGCCACCCGACCACCGTCTTTATCAAACTAAGCTAATGTGAGAATTTTTTCTCCACTCAATAATTCAAAGGTCAGTTTGAAATATAAAAATCAAGGCTCTGAAGAACAATACTAATTCCCTGCAATGACTTGCTGTAAATACAGTATGTATTATCATTTGACCACTTTTGTGCTATCCAATTGAGATAGGCCAGGTAGCATGGAATCATTCCATGACAAAAGAATGCATCAGTACTGGTCAAATATGTGACAAATTTTATTTAAAGCTAAGAATGCAGAATTACTGAATCTGTTGTCGATTAACCAATAACAAAGCGTGTTTTATTTTAACTCGTACTTCACGACCCGGTTTCATGATAAAAATTTAGAAAACTAACAATATGCAGCCAGTTAGTATTGCACACAAACATCTAACCCCATCCAACATACAGAAAGTTCAACTGACCAACTTGGTACTGACCTGGACCCGTTGTTTTTCTTTCAGGTTCAACCAATCAAACCTTTTCAACCTCTTACACTAAAGTGACTTTAGTTTACAATACAAATATTCCCACCTGTTGGCCAACCTCCACAGCAATGCTCTTGATGACTCCAGGCATTGGGGCATTGACCATGGTAGGGAGATCGTCGGGCACCCGCTCAGGCATGTACTTCATCATTTCACTGGCAAACGTATCCATCACGGTCACAGGGAACTACAACATGAAAGGCCATTGGATATTCAACTGTATTAAACAGACTTCAAGTTCCAGAAAACAGTATCGAGAAGGACATCTCAGAGGTTAAATGATTGAGTTTAGATCACTTACCACGGTGCCGAGGTAGCGCAGCTTGTATTTTCCAGCTCCAAGTCTTTGTGTTAACTGTTTGAAAATAAAAGTATCAACATTTAATGCAAAATTTTAATTAACATCAGTTTTGAAGATCGTGAGTCAGCTTTGTTTAATCCCTATTTTAACTGGCCTTTGGACTTTCAAGACATCAGAAATCATTGAAAGATATTGATATCTTCAACTCAAATGACCTAAGAAAACCAAACCCTCCCTTTAAATGCATTTGATTTTAATGATCAAATTCTTTATTTCAAAAACCTGTATTTTATTTCACTCCATCTTTGCTACCAACTATTCAGTACTTAAATCTATTAAGTATGTGTGGGAGCTTTCATGCGATTTCATTCCATGTAAACAATAGAAATGGTTTGTTGGGTGTCTATACAACTAAGAAGAATCGTGCTAACATTTATGTTTTGATCTGCAGATCGTATATTTGGATGATATGTGTGATATGCATACAGTCCCAGAACTGTGGAGATACTAGGAAGATTTTTGATTTCTAGAATTTGTCCACGCCTAATTCTTATTGACAAGATATCTCTCTTACATTAGAATGTGGTTGTATATTACATCATTCTTACCTGAATGACTGTTGGCTGATCATTGATGATGACTTCGAGCAGAGGAGAGGAGAAATCGAGATTATCAAGTATAGACATAGTTTGTCCGTTACAATCCACCTGGTGAACAGCAACAAGTCAGTGTTTATTAACAGAAAAAAATGAAATCCTTAATGTTTTTCACTGGAAATAAATAAAATCATTTCAAGGGTAAAATATGTTTACAAAGCCCCTGCTGTGTCCCAAAATGATATAATGATTTTGACTACATATGTATTTCGAAAAAACTTAAAAATTCTGTGACATTTTAATAATAGTGTGTGTTCACACCTAAATATTTACAAGTTACAATCTGTTAGCTATCCCTCAGGTACAGAGAAGCAGTAAAGAGAAAGATGGTTCAGGCAAAGACAAATAAAAAGGAAGGTGTGAATGTATTGACCTTTGACCTCCACGGGACAAAGAAATGGTTGCACTTTTGCACAGGGGCACTATATATATATGCTCATGAAATTCTGTGAAAATCAACATACTGCAAGGTATTTTTTTTTATTCAGATTTTTAAAGTCTCATTTCATTACAACACTACATTTCAACATTTTATAATTTTAACATACCGTAATGTAGCCACCACCACAAGAGGCAGAAACTGGAACAGATTGACCACCAATCTGGACACTAAGTGACCATACTGTAGACGGGTCTGATGACATGGACATTCTTAAAAAAATCATAAATACTCTTATTTTATTTTCTAAATAAATTTATATGTGAAATTAACAATAAATCAATATACAAAATCAAGAATAACAAAATTGATATATGAAATAAACTATAGATAAATTAATAGATTTATTATAAGCATTTTGCAAATGAGGTACTAAATCAGGATTGTATAGAGTGACTTATTAAGTTCCATATAATGTTTATTGCAATGGTGATCATAGAAAGCTAAAAGAGGCTTGATGGGCCCGTATCCCTCATCTGATATTCAATGATTTTCATTTAACATTTCACATCAAAGTCTTGTTTAATGAGAAGACATCATTTGAAGGCTTTTATGAATTTGACCTCCGTGACTTATCTTTTTACAAACATGTAAGAGCTTCAGCTCAGGAACCTATCAGTTAGATACTGTACAAAAGACACACAAGTGCATAACACGTTTTCATAATATAGAATGAGATACAGTAGAGCCAAACAATGAATTAAACTGCATACAACTATTTCGTCCTTCTAGGACTCATCAGTGATGCTATGGGCCTAAAATTTGAAGTCTAGGAGGTGACTAAAGAAAATCCAAAGTGATCAAAATAAAAGTCAAAATCTTGTAGAAGAGGTGCAGCAGCCCCATTAGTAGATAAATTTCATAATTTTCATACATTACATAACTTTAGAATAGCGTCAAGTAGTACATGTGTATTTTCTGAACCGTGCCACTATTCCATTGAATTTAAACATGGCAAGCAGGTTATTTAAAGTCCATCAGCAGTGTCTACCACTTGCTATCATGATATTGGTTGAAAAGTTGACAACAGACATCACACCACACAATAAGGACACTTAGCCTTTCAAGCAAGGTGAACCAAATAATGAGAGGTGATGTTTAGTAACTGCATTAGAATTCTTAAAATAATTTGCAAGAAAAGACTGTAGAACAATGGTAACACAAACTCATAAACAAGATGACAGTATGATTTGAATTTAAAATTTGTACATATACAGTCATTATATCTTCAGAAGGAAAAAAAGATTTCCCTCAATTTAAATTTTCCTTCATATTTTATACCAGGAAAATCAAAGTTATTTAAAATTTAATTCATGCAGAAAGACCGATAACGATTAAAACAACAAGGGAACCTTACTGCTGTAAAGTGAAAGTACTGGTAAATTTTTTAACAACAAGGAATATAATTTTTTACATTAGAATTAAAAGTCAGGGTAAGCTTGTAACCAAAAAGAAATCCCATTATTGTACAATAAAATTTTAAGTTTATAACAATAAGGAATCTCAATGTTGTACAGAACATATATTGTACCTGGTCTGATTTAAGAAATTACGAGGTAATAAGGAATCTCAATGTTGTATAGAACATATATCGTACCTGGTCTGATTTAAGAAATTACGAGATACAATTTGGTCCTTGATGAAGATGATGGTTGCCATGGCAGCAAGATTACTGTTTTCAATGGCACTTAACTGCTTCCCTGTCAAACAAAGTATAAAGGTGTGTAAGTGTGAGAGAAAATAAAAAACAAACAAGTAGGTATCTTAAGACAGAGATTAAGTGGTATAGAGATGGTGATACTGTTTCATTTTGCTGTCATTAATGAAAGTGTGAAATTAAATATTCATAGAAAATACAAATTTTGGAATATGTGTTATTACACACATGTAAATATAATATCTGTGAAGTAAGAAAACCAGAACAATCACTAAATATTGGTTCTGCAAAATTAAACAACGACACAATCAACATAATTTATTACTGAAAACCAACTCATCAATGTTTTTATTTTTATTTCACTGAGAGTAATTTTGAGGTTCAACTCTTCAGTAAAACCACAGTTAATTAATTTACCAAAGAAATGTATTCCATCACCATAATTATGAAATAACAGAACAAGTAAAAAAAATGTATCCCAAAATGGCTGTAGAGTTTGTGCAAATGACAGAATTTACTTTGAAAACAGTGAAATAGAAAATGTTGATAATATTAAGTACTTTGATGTTACTTTATCCTTTAACTCTACTTACTATTCATGATCAAGGATGTAAACATATATATAATACTCCCAAAGTTTGTAACAATCTAGCTTTAAATGTTGAATATGAATTAGATTTTTCTTCTTAATTCTGTTCTTAATTGTAGCTGTGAAGATACTGAGAGTATGTAATAGAAAAGAACTTTGTTATCAAGGCAAATATTTACAATCTAGTTCATTACTACATTCAATACTTTGAGCCTAATGTGTATTGTTTATTTATCATGTATCTTCTGTCAATTACCTCCTGTAAAATAATATTATCTGGCACAATTAAAATAATAATTGCTCTTCTATTGTACTCCTTTAGTTAACTGTCTGCCGGTCTATCTTTATTTCTTCTCATCTTGTACAATGTAGGTAAATTTTTATATAGTATCTGAATATTTTGCATGTGCTTTAACAGCCTTATATTGTACAATGTACAATGCATTCTTATGTATTTGACTGTTATACTTCTGAGCTATAAGGCTTAAAGAGAATAAACGATACAATACTTACTTGGAAAGCCAACTAATTTGATATTGGGAAATTAATTATTACTTACCTGTAAATCTATCTTGGCAAATCTTTGGAAGTTAATCATATTCTTTCCTGTACAGCTGTCTGACTAGATCTTGTGAAGGTCACTATTACTTACCTGTACAAACATCCCAGTAGATCTTGGGAAAGTAATTATTATTTACCTGTAAAGCCACCTTGATAGATCTTGGGAAGGCAATTATTATTTACCTGTAAAGCCATCTGGATAGATCTTGGGAAGGTAATTATTATTTACCTGTAAAGGCATCTGGATAGATCTTGGGAAGGTAATTATTATTTACCTGTAAAGCCATCTGGATAGATCTTGGGAAGGTAATTATTATTTACCTGTAAAGCCACCTTGATAGATCTTGGGAAGGTAATTATTATTTACCTGTAAAGCCACCTTGATAGATCTTGGGAAGGTAATTATTATTTACCTGTAAAGCCATCTGGATAGATCTTGGGAAGGTAATTATTATTTACCTGTAAAGCCATCTGGATAGATCTTGGGAAGGTAATTATTATTTACCTGTAAAGCCATCTGGATAGATCTTGGGAAGGTAATTATTATTTACCTGTAAAGCCATCTGGATAGATCTTGGGAAGGTAATTATTATTTACCTGTAAAGCCATCTGGATAGATCTTGGGAAGGTAATTATTATTTACCTGTAAAGCCATCTGGATAGATCTTGGGAAGGTAATTATTATTTACCTGTAAAGCCATCTGGATAGATATTGGCAAGGTAATTATTATTTACCTGTAAAGCCATCTGGATAGATCTTGGGAAGGTAATTATTATTTACCTGTAAAGCCATCTGGATAGATCTTGGGAAGGTAATTATTATTTACCTGTAAAGCCATCTGGATAGATCTTGGGAAGGTAATTATTATTTACCTGTAAAGCCATCTGGATAGATCTTGGGAAGGTAATCAGTACTTATATCACCAGCTACAAACGATTCCTCTGTACAAATATCTCTCAGTAGAGGAACATTGTGTGTTACACCTACAAACAAAGAATAGTTTTAAGTTACCTACAAAGAACAGTTTCCACATCTACAAACAAAATTACTTACATCCACAAACCAAGAATAGTATTTGCACTTACAATCAATAGTTTTACACCTATAAACAAATAATAGTGTTCATCTCCAAATAAGGTGTTTACACATGTTCACAACTCTTAACACAGCACAAATTTATCACTGGTCATACCTTTCTAATTGTAACATTTAGTTAAAATATAATCTAAAATTTGCCAAGAACCATTCTATAAAATTTACTAAGACTGAGACCCTGCTTTACATCCCTGGTATGTATTGTACAGTGTGTCACATGACCTCAACATGATGGGTAAAGAACCATTCTATAAAATTTACTAAGACTGAGACCTTGCTTTACATCCCTGGTATGTATTGTACAGTGTGTCACATGACCTCAACATGATGGGTAAAGAACCATTCTATAAAATTTACTAAGACTGAGACCTTGCTTTACATCCCTGGTATGTATTGTACAGTGTGTCACATGACCTCAACATGATGGGTAAAGGACCATTATATAAAATTTACTAAGACTGAGACCTTGCTTTGTATTGCCAGTTTGTATTGTACAGTGTGTCACATGACCACAAGATGATGGGTAAATATATAGACAATGAAGCACAGAGCTTACTCACTGAAGGTTAATTACATATCCCTTCATTTTTCAATCTGTTGATCTCTCAATTTTCATTGTTATTATCTAATTACAAACACTTAAATAGAAATTTTAAACATTAGAGAATACTCTACCTTTTATCACATAGTTGTCCAGAGCATTCACCATCACATCCAAAGCTTCTTGTCTAGTTTTACCATAGGTCACCAGCTGTTGATACATAGAATGAATATAGTCAGTCAGGTGAGTAAACAATACACCTGTAAATAGTGTCTAGTTTTACCATCATCACTGATTCATATGTTGTATCAAGTCAGCAGTGTCTAGTTTTACCATCATCACTGATTCATATGTTGTATCAAGTCAGTAGTGTCTAGTTTTACTGTTATCATTGATGCATATGTTGTATCAAGTCAATAGTGTCTAGTTTTACCATCATCACTGATTCATATGTTGTATCAAGTCAATAGTGTCTAGTTTTACCGTCATCACTGATTCATATGTTGTATTAAGTTCCAATAGGATTAGAGTTAATGTATAGGGTCACTTTGGATAGAAGATATCTACACAATGTTTTCTACTGTGGAACAATCTTTAACATGCAAATCTCTATAAACACTAATTAATGTTTATTATTCAATCATCATTAACATTCATTAAGGATATTTTACCTTACAAATCATGGCGTCATAGTAAACACTGATTTCACTGCCCTCTTTGATTCCACTGTCACATCGCACCTGGTAAAACAACAGAACATTGAAACATTATTCTTCAGGTAAAATTGTCAAAATATCAAGTTATGTATGACAATTCATTACATTAAATGTACATATTTTAGTGCTAATCCTATTTTAGCACTTTCCATGCTAAATATGGTGCAAAGTGCTAAAACATTATTACTGTTTCAGTATACTTTTTATATAACAATTATTGTGGGATGTGCAAAAAGATCATCATGCTAATTTACCAAAAGTAATTAAGTGATAAAATTTCAATGTGCTAAATCAAGTGCATTTACAGAAATGATTGTGAATGTGCAATTTTATCAATGTGTTTATTTGTTGAAATTGATATTGCACTAAGATTTTGCTGCACCAAAATAAGTATCTTTTGATACTGTGCTTTTACTGTAAAATCTACAAAAATACATAATCTGTCTACTGGACCTATCCCTCTGACCTGCTTCCTGGACAGACAGGGATGTTTTCCTTTGAGGTCTCCAGTCCTGGTATTTATTAATGCTTTTCATCCTTTGTCCTAGCATGGTGTTTCATTGTGTTAATGCAGCAATCAGTGTGGTACAATGCATATATTGCCGTGGTGGTAAATGTTTTTTGTACAAGTGTTGTGGTGTGATAAATTTTGTGTTTGTGTGTCACTACTGTGGTATAACCTGGACACTGGGAAAACGATCAAAGACACAGAAAAGTATAAATCTTCAATAAATTCTAACCAATGCTTTTAACAGTCACCTACCTTGTCAATATATGTTGGCTCCATGTACTTGGTCAGTCTACCAATAGACGGCATACCAAAGCTTTTATAAGGATCCTAAAAACATTAATTTCAAGAGATAAAAAAACACATGATACATAATTGGCCATTTTTCATATGAATATCTACATGTTAGTTTTCGTTATTCTAGGAATACAAATACATGGAGGGAGTCATATTATTTGTGACATCACTTTTCTCCCTCCCCTTTCTACTGTAATTTTTTTTTCTACAGGAAATTTATTTTCAATGAATATGTGGATACCTTTTAATCCACAAATTCAAAGGACCATGAATCAATTTCAAAAGAGCTTATGTTAGTTCATGCAGATTTATTGAGTACTTTGTGTCCTCAAAATAGTTATTAAAAAAATTAATAACTAACATGAAATTTGCGCCCCACAAAAATATCTTAATTTACAATACTGAATTGCAACTTCCTCCATATTTTGAACAAATCCAAATGTCGATATAAATCACCTATAATGATTTGTTTCTGGTATAGGAAAGACAACCCAAGTTAAACTCATTGTGCATAAACAGGCAATTAAAGCCAGTGCTTGGAATGAAGTCCTATCATGATGTTTTTTCATTATCTGTAATTAACTCACATCCCTGCCTTTTCATTATCTGTAATAAACTCACACCATTGACTTTTCATTATCTGTAATAAACTCACACCTCTGACTTTTCATTATCTGTAATAAACTCACAACCCTGACTTTTCATTATCTGTAATAAACTCACACCATTGACTTTTCATTATCTGTAATAAACTCACACCCCTGACTTTTCATTATCTGTAATAAACTCACACCTCTGACTTTTCATTATCTGTAATAAACTCACACCCCTGACTTTTCATCATCTGTAATAAACTCACAACCCTGACTTTTCATTATCTGTAATAAACTCACACCCCTGACTTTTCATTATCTGTAATAAACTCACACCCCTGCCTTTTCATTATCTGTAATAAACTCTCACCTCTGACTTTTCATTATCTGTAATAAACTCACACCTCTACCTTTTCATCATCTGTAATAAACTCACAACCCTGACTTTTCATTATCTGTAATAAACTCACACCTCTGACTTTTCATTATCTGTAATAAACTCACACCCCTGCCTTTTCATCATCTGTAATAAACTCACAACCCTGACGTTTCATTATCTGTAATAAACTCACACCTCTGACTTTTCATCATCTGTAATAAACCCACACCCCTGACTTTTCATTATCTGTAATAAACTCACACCCCTGACTTTTCATTATCTGTAATAAACTCACACCCCTGCCTTTTCATTATCTGTAATAAACTCTCACCTCTGACTTTTCATTATCTGTAATAAACTCTCACCTCTGACTTTTCATCATCTGTAATAAACTCTCACCTCTGACTTTTCATTATCTGTAATAAACTCACACCTCTACCTTTTCATCATCTGTAATAAACTCACAACCCTGACGTTTCATTATCTGTAATAAACTCACACCTCTGACTTTTCATTATCTATAACAAACTCACACCCCTGACTTTTCATTATCTGTAATAAACTCACACCCCTGCCTTTTCATTATCTGTAATAAACCCACACCCCTGACTTTTCATTATCTGTAATAAACTCACACCTCTACCTTTTCATTATCTGTAATAAACTCATACCTCTACCTTTTCATTATCTGTAATAAACTCACACCTCTGACTTTTCATTATCTTTCACCTTTTCATTATCTGTAATAAACTCACACCTCTGACTTTTCATTATCTGTAATAAACTCACACCTCTGACTTTTCATTATCTGTAATAAACTCACACCTCTACCTTTTCATTATCTGTAATAAACTCACACCTCTGACTTTTCATTATTTGTAATAAACTCACAACCCTAACTTTTCATTATCTGTAATAAACTCACACCTCTACCTTTTCATTATCTGTAATAAACTCACACCTCTACCTTTTCATTATCTGTAATAAACTCTCACCCCTAACTTTTCATTATCTGTAATAAACTCACACCTCTGGCATTCACTAAGAAGCAATTATGTCTCTCTGTGCTTTTCACAAGATATATACAGTTATATACCTTTTATATATATATATATATTTTTTTTTTCTTCATTAGAAAAATACTGTTAATTAACATAATGTAAAAGAGTATACCTCAGCGTAAACTCTGCATTCAAATGCCCAGCCGTCTATTGGGATGTCTGACTGTTTGTGGAGTAACTTGTGCCCTGAAACAAGTACATTATTCATGGTATTCCTTAATGATTTAATTCCCTATGAAACAAGCATTTTCAAGCCAAGTGTATTATGTTATCACCACATAGGATAAAAAATTGATGTCATTTTGAAATGTCATGTTTGATTGGCCGATGTGGTTTAAATTGTAAAGATTAATTTTGATCATCTTTTCTATTATGGATCCTTACCGAAAACTATGTGAATGGCTAATTACCCCCCAAAAAATTATTCAAGTTAATTCTGATAAGGGTTGAAACTTTCTGTACAGATCTTATTAAGAATTATTCATATCATAATTTCTAAAACATTCATTTTAAATCTCAGATACCTGATCCAGGAGTAATAGCTATGGATTGTGTTTACCTTTAGCAGACCGAATCATCTGATGGACGAGATCAATGCCTGTAATACACTCAGTAATAGGATGCTCAACTTGAAGGCGGGTATTCATCTCCAGGAAGTAGAAGTTCTTCTTTGAGTCAACAAGAAACTCCACTGTACCTAATGTTAAAAGTTTTTAATAACAAACAATTCTTTTTAAATCAGTGACCTATCCAGAGCATAAATCAATGGAACCCCCCCCCCCCTCCCACCCTCCATTCCTCAATCCTAAGCCTGGGCGGTCGGGTGGCACAGTAGTAACACACTCACCTTTCACCTAGACATCAGGGGTTTAATTCCTGGAACGGACCTAAAGGTATGGGGTCACCTGCCCAACCCCATGGGTATGCTGGTTTCCTCCCACAGTAAAACCCCTTGCATGTTTCCATCCCGGCCAACAATTTTGTTTCACAATTGTTGTAAAATAAATAAAGTTTTATTTCAATCCTAACTTTAACCCTAAGCCTTGACATGGACAAGGGACTTACTGAGACAACAAGAAATTGGGTATAAGATACTAAACAATCAAGAATCCACACCATATCTATAATACTAACCTTGAATATTCAAAAACTTTTCAATTATAATAAGTAATTTTCACACAACTATGAAAAACTTCACATTGTTACCTGCAGATGTATATCCCACTGCTGCTGCCAGTTGTGTGGCTTGTTCTCCCATAGCTCGCCTCATGTCTGGATCAAGGAAAGTGCTGTAACAATAAATTCAACTATAAGTATTTTACACTGTTCTAATGGTCATACATGCACCAATTTCTTAACATGATTTTTTTTAAGTTTTTAGCTTGCCTAATCAAAGAATAGAGGGGTTAATGAAATCAGCATAGAGTCACCATTGCCAGGTTACCGATTCACTGGATGTATTGAAATGCTGTAGTATATAATTATATATGTTAGCTAGGATGCTGATATTTTTATGATGGTAGTTCTGGATTGTGTTGTTATCTTTGAAAAGTGAATAGTGATTATTAATTTTAATTGAAATTTTGTAATATAAATGGACATTAAATTTGCTCGCTTAAAGTTTTGTAGCAAGCAATGAAATAATCATGTATCTGGTGCCAATTATTCCAAAAATGACATCATCAAAATTTAAAGATTGGAAAATTTCATTTAAGATAAGACCTAGGCCTATAAAAACAACACGTTCTCCTGCTAAATGGTGCAAAAACAGACAGAGTAGGTGTGACAGGAGTTCTTTTTTTATCTTCTATGTCGCCCATGAAATCCTTTTAATTCCTTATTTTTAAATTAAAGTTTATTTTTACAGGATAAAGGATAACAATTATATAGAAATACATGTAAAAACTTAAAGGTCCTTGCCTGAAAATTCACTAATAACTTTAAGGTAGGCTAAAAGATACAGAGTCAGTGAGGTTCATGGTATTTTTAGACCTTACCTTGGAGCTTCCTCGATGACTTTCTGGTTTCTACGTTGTATGGAGCACTCTCTCTCATTCAGCCACAATGCATTTCCATGTTTATCACACAAAACCTGATTGACAATGAAAGCATGTCTCTCAATACTTAAAACAAACATGAAAGCAATCTTTTCTCATTCTATTACATGTTTGAGGTAAACAATAGCTCCTAGGTCATACATAAACTCCTTTAAGTTTATAAGATAAATTATAGATCACATTTCCAGGGTCTTCTTTTTTTTGTGCCTACTACAAAATCGTTTTTGTATAGTTTTAAACTATAATTGTAATAGGTATTAGACTCATGTGATGAGGAGTATTAGCAGAGACCATTGAATTAAAAAGCTTTACTCTTCAAGTTTTAGGATTTATAATGTATATTCCGTAGACCTAGAAAGCGATCACAGGTTATCCATTAGATTGAACCCTTATATCAATTTATTGCTGTACCCAAGTGGTTTAATATTACATATATTATGCTACCCAAAAATTTTCAGAGAGCATATAGTCGTCACCTTGTTTTTTATTATTTACATCACATCTTTTTTTATTCTTTTCAAAATATTAATGCATTTGACCTTAGTTTTAGATCAAAAGGCCCAAAGGGCATTAAAGGGTCATCTGACGATAAAGATCTATATATGAAAGATGCAAATAGGCCTAAAAATGAATTGACCAACTACACTACAGCTTACATAGAAGACATTGGTTGATGCATAACAACATTTTTCACAAACCAGAAATTTTATTCTTTATACATGCACTACACTAATGCCATTACTCAGAACATATTGTGTTGAAAAAGCATGCTATATGCCCATTATCAAGGCCCATGGCCATTTCATTATTGAGAAGTTGCTTACACATTTCGCCACATTTGACCCCTGTGCCCTTGAAAGTAGGTCAAGATGAACAAACTTTGTAGCCCTTCATCCCAAATCCCTGGGTCAAGGTAATTAATTTTAACAAACTTGGTAGCCTAGTGTGCTGAAGGCCCAGTATCAATACCATGAACCTTTTGTTTCTTGAGAAGATGTCGTTTGAAGACCTTAACACATTTGACTCCTGTGACTTTGAAAGTAAGTAAAAGTCATTCATTTTAACAAAGTATCTATTAAAAATATTTGACCCCTGTGACCTTGAAAGTAGATCAACTTAATTTGTTTTAACAAACCTTGTAACCCTTCATTCCAGCATACTACAGGCCCAATATTGGCAGCCTGGGTTTTTTGGTTATAGAGAAGAATTAGTGTAAAAATTTTAACATATTTGACTCATATGACCTAGAAAGTGGGTCATTCATATTAACAAAACTTATTATTATTATTTAAGAGGAAGTCATTTGAATGGAAAGTTTACAAACAGCGTATGGCAGGCAATAACAGACAAAACACGATGGCTAGAGGACATCCTGACACTTCAGGTCAGATGACCTAAAAATAGTAATACCTTGAAAATCTGAGTATGTATGTCAGGCATGATTAATGTTATTTTTCAGTTCTTGTGCAACATGTTACTTACCTGGACTTCTATATGTCTCGGGTTATCTATAAATTTTTCAATCAACATCCTATCATCGCCAAAGCTGGATGAAGCTTCCTGCTTGCTCAACCGGTAAGCATCTCTGAAAGTCAAAGTACATGTAAAGTTGTTATTGTCATTTTTCATCAAACGTCTTTGTTCACTTGCTTCTAAACTTTCTCATTTTTTTAAAACTCCTTTTTTGTTTTTATGATAAACAAATAGTACCTTCCCTTCTCTTGTGTAAATATCTATAGCCTCACCTCCTCAAGACTCTCTACATTGAATGTGCACTATGTATTTGTCCACTGCTATAAGTTATAGACAAACCTCCTCCTCACCACCACCTTTTTCATTGTCCTTGCTTCCCCATCACTCTAGATACAGCCTGTGTCTGTCCCCAGCTATACATTCTACACAAACCTCCTCCTTACCACCACCTTTTTCATTGTCCTTGCTTCCCCATCACTCTAGGTACAGCCTGTGTCTGTCCCCAGCTATACATTCTAGACAAACCTCCTCCTCACCATCACCTTTCCACTGACCTCCCTTCTCTCTAGGTTCCCCCGGTATCCTCCTCATCATCAACTTACCTTGCCTCCTGATCATTCCATGCAATCCTCATGCCTTTTCCACCACCACCAGCTGATGCCTTGATCATGACCGGATATCCTGATATAATCACGTAAAGATGTCAACATCAACATACCATACTGGAGAATACAAGTCTAGAGGCATATATACCTGTGTCACTCACCATGTTTTAATTATTGTAACACTTAAAATAGAGTAAAATCAATGGATCAATGGGCTTGAGTTTTCAAGATGATTGACAGAATAAAATTATCATGAAATCTTCAAAATTTGTATCTTCTGTTCTGTATGCACATATTTTCTCTGAATCCTTCAAATCCATGAAAGGGAAATGGGAGATCATGAACATACCACCTTTAAGGTGATACAGGATCATTGGTCTGGAATCATATCCACACCCGTGACTTCTTTGATAAACATAGGGAATCAGGTAGTAATATAAACAAACTGTGTGGCTTTGGTTTCAGTGTAGTGCTACTGTAAACTTCAAGGGAATGATATCAACCTTGCACAGGTCAGAATTTTTTTCTAAAACAATCAGATGATATATGTCAAAGGTGTAGAGAAGATATGTAAATAGAGTGTGGAACTCTTGGAATTTGAAAGTTATTATGGGCTCATTAAGCCATATGATGGATTATACTAAATCAGGTTTCTCTAACAGTATTAGTGCCTTTATGTCATCACTGTACAATATTTTTTACCTATTTCATTGGCGTATTTGACACAAGCATCAACATCATCAACTTCACCGTCGTGTCCTGGAATCATATTCACGCCAGCTTTGGTCGCAATTCTCTTGCTCTCAATTTTATCCCCCATAGCATGAATTGAGCTGCTGCTAGGACCAATGAACTCAACTCCAATTTCAGCCTGAAACAACAATGATAAAATCATATATCAGGCAACAAGAATATTTGCATTAGAGTATAAACCATGAGGCCAGGTAGTCTATGGGATATACACCATGTCCTTATACATTATATTTTTCTGTAAACTTTATTGAGTCTGTTCATGGGGCTAACTCGCCTAGCTTGATGGATATTTACACTTTGTACTGATATATTATTTCTCTATAAACTTAAAAAACTTTTAATATAGCACTACCCAACAACATTTAAATTCATTAAAGTACTACTATTCATTAAAGTACTACTATTCATAAGTACTACTATTCATTAAAATCAGTTTTTACCAGAAACAGCAACTCTTTAAAACACTGAATTAATCACACAACAGGCCTGTTGTGTCATGTTATAAAGACATTTCATGAATATCATAAGACATTATTGTGATGTCATGTCTTGATACTATCACGTGATTGTCATGGCAGTGACAAAACATACTATCCCTGTTAACACAAATCTGTCGGAAATTAATTTCAGGTTTAACTGATTTATCAGAAAGTGACAAAATGTACAGTCCCTGCTAAAATAAAATTTAAGAAAGACTGATTTTGGGGTATACAGTTGTTTCTCAGGAATACTGGTTTTATGATAAACAGAATTTTACACACAATTCAATGTAATATGGTATTAATGAAACACATTAAATGATTGATACATCACTCGCAAGTCTCGTGACATATCAAATCATTGACATGCATGTAAGTTCCTCTATTTATAACATGTGTTTAAACTTTATATCAAAAGACCTCATTACAGCCAGCACTAAAAACTTGTTCAGCCTAATTGATAAAACAAAGAATGATTTCTGAAATTAGAATGCAATAACCAATATTACTTAGCCTAACAAATTCCAAATTATCAAAACTTACCAGTTTGGCAGCAAACACTGTGTTTTCTGACAAAAACCCATACCCAGGATGAACCTATAACCAAAGAAAAATCAAACTTCCATGAAACGATGTAACAGAGAATAATTCTTATCTTCTGTGAAATCATATATTTTCGTGCGGCAAATTTTCATGGTTTTCAAAAAAAACATGTTTCCTAGACACTTTATATGGTTTGTGGATAATTATAGCTCTATCATTTTACTAATACAAAATTTAACTACACTTAGACATATGGATTTATTGATTAAGAGCACCCACAAAGTCATGGAAATAAAATCCCCACAAAATTGATGATTTTACAGTTTATCTCATTTTTCTACCAATACCTAGTCTAGTAAAGTTAATAGCAATGACGTTAATACAGCTCCGATATTACTAAATGATATCATTTTGGTGAAAATCACCATTTTAAGTATAACATCCCTCTTTTTCATTTTCTATTAAAATCTGTACTAAATATCATAACATTTCAAGAAATATGTGTATGCATTGACCTTCTTTATGCAAAAATGAGAAAACTAATTATATTCAGCCAGTTAATTTTGAACAGGTATAGCTGACCCCCTCAACTCCTTATGCTAGATATATTCTGCAGTCCAGCCTCCATTCCAATCTGTGAAATGGCATTTCTCCTGCAGATTCAGCCAGTCCAACTATTTCAGCAACTTACTTGACAGCAACCTAATACCTGAATGTTTGTTTTTTGTTATGATTACACTGCATAGGTATGTCAGAAAGTAGTCATTACAGACTAAAGCTGTACTGGTAACTTTACTCACTGCCTGAGAACCAGTGTCTTTCACAGCCTTCAGAATGGCATCCATGTTGAGGTAACTCTGGCTAGTAGGAGCAGGGCCAACATTGACAGCTTCATCAGCCATGAGTGTGTGTACCTACAGACAAGAAAGGAAAAATATTTATACCATCTGATAGCATAACTGCCTAAAATACTTTGTATGTTGTCTCTTCATTTTTGATATACAATTATGCAAATGTAAATGATTGAAAATGATGCATATGTTTTAATATCTTATTCAAAATTATTACCAAAACCATTCTATCACATGACAAAGTAATACATGCAACTTTATAGTTAAATCTGTCTCAATGCATCATTTTTTCAAAAAAAGTCACAATGTCTAAATGTCTCTATTCAATAGTTCTCCCAAGGTATTTCCTATGTTTAACCTGGTTAATGCATTACCCTGTGTAATGTGTTTGACTTCCTAAAAGGAGTGCAACGAGCAGCCTAGGCTATGATGATTTATATATCATGATTTGCCAGAAGTTGTTAATTGTGCACTGGATCAATTTGCTGATGATACATCAGCTATCACAAATACTGAAGAGGACAAAACGAACTTCCAGCAGGATATCAACGATGTACATGAACAGTCGGTCAACTGCAAGTTAATGCTACAAAGTGTAAACATCTTCACCTGGGAAAACTGATGCAAACCCACCAAATATTGACAATGATAACATAGATTTTGTCACCAAAAAAAGGACTGGGTTTTACTCTAGATAATAAATTGATGTGAAGAAATCATGTTCTACAGGTAACAACAAAAATGAGACAAAAATATGTTTTTAAACTTGAACAAATCTCTTGCTCGACTGTGACTTTAATATGCAACAGCAGTAACTATAATTACTACAAAAAAGACATTGGAACATTAGAACAAGTCCAAAGGAGAGCGACAATATTTGTAGGTGAAAGTTTTCCAGAAAGACTAAAAACAATTGGATTGCCTACTTTGAACATTGAATACTTCAGGCAGATATGACACAGGTTTACTGAATCCTTAAACATGCTGATATTCCCAATCAAGGACATCTAGTCCAAAACTGGTGAAAAAAAAACATCACACTCGTCTTAATATTCAGCAGTATAGCTTACATAATGCAGTTTTCAACAATTGTAACAATTTATCACAGGATGCAAAAAAAAACATCACAAGATGTTCCTTGTCTCTCAAAGCAGTGACAACAACATTAGATGTTCATTGTCCCTTGAAGAAGTGACAATAGCATCAGATGTTCATTGTCCCTCAAAGCATAGACATCATCAAATGTTTATTGTCTCTTGAATAAGTGACAACAACATCAAATGTTTAATCTCCCTCAAAGCAGTGAAAAAAATATAAAATGTTTTATCTCCCAAAATGCAGTGACAACAACATCAAATGTTTAATCTCCCTCAAAGCAGTGACAACAACAACAAATGTTCAATCTCCCAAAATGCAGTGACAACAACATCAAATGTTTAATCTCCCTCAAAGCAGTGACAACAACATTAAATGTTCAATCTCCCAAAATGCAGTGACAACAACATCAAATGTTTAATCTCCCTCAAAGCAGTGACAACAACATTAAATGTTCAATCTCCCTCAAAGCAGTGACAACAACATCAAATGTTCTATCTCCCTCAAAGCAGTGACAACAACATCAAATGTTCAATCTCCCTCAAAGCAGTGACAACAACATCAAATGTTCAATCTCCCTCAAAGCAGTGACAACAAGTAAATGTTCAATCTCCCTCAAAGCAGTGACAACAACATCAAATGTTCAATCTCCCTCAAAGCAACATCAAATGTTCATCTCCCTCAAAGCAGTGACAACAACATCAAATGTTCAATCTCCCTCAAAGCAGTGACAACAACATCAAATGTTCAATCTCCCTCAAAGCAGTGACAACAACATCAAATGTTCAATCTCCCTCAAAGCAGTGACAACAACATCAAATGTTCAATCTCCCTCAAAGCAGTGACAACAACATCAAATGTTCAATCTCCCTCAAAGCAGTGACAACAACATCAAATGTTCAATCTCCCTCAAAGCAGTGACAACAACATCAAACAATCTCCCTCAGTTCAAATGTTCTATCTCATTGTCCCAGTGACAACAAATCAAATGTTCTATCTCCCTCAAAAGTGAAAACAATATCAAATGTTCAATCTCCCTCAAAGTAGTGACAACAACATCAAATGTTCTATCTCCCTCAAAGCAGTGACAACAACATCAAATGTTCAATCTCCCTCAAAGTAGTGACAACAACATCAAATGTTCTATCTCATCAAAGCAGTGACAACAGCATCAAATGTTCAATCTCCCTCAAAGCAGTGACAACAACATCAAATGTTTCAGGTGGTATATGTTAGACGCAAAAGACATAATGAGCGAGACAGAAAATGACAATCATCAATGACTTACTGATCTTGAATCCACATCACTGTGTATAGCAACAGTCTTGATACCCAAGCGTTTACAAGTTTGAATGACACGGCATGCTATTTCTCCTCTGTTGGCAATAAGAATCTTATCAAAAGTCTGAAAAAAAATTGAAATATATCAAAAAGATCTCTTCATGTATCAAATTGATGAACTTTAGTGACAGCTCTGTTGATAAATGATATTTATAAAATTTTAATTTTTAAAATTCTACTCTAAACATGAATACAGCAATATCAGAAGGATAACAAAGTGGCGTATAATTTCAATTCAATGGTGGACAGAGATTGTTTTATATGAGATATCATCAAATATATCCTATGAAACAATATGAATACTGCTAACCTGAAATCAAGAAAAGAAGTAACCAGTAACTTAGGACAAGGTGTTCATATGTATATTGTTGTGTACAATATGTACAATGTTTTTTTAATGCTTCGTGGATTGTACAGGGTAAGTAGAAATTTAAAGCAACCAGAGTAAAACAGGGCAAAAAAATATCAAGTACATTTTATGAAGATATACACACTGCATATATAATGTTATCAATTAAATAGATAAATGAATCAAATTTTTAAAAAATACCAATATTTTCCCCAGATTAAAGCGAGATTCTCTCGTTCATAAATAATAGTTTTCTGTAGAAACTGATGTTAACAGTGAAATCTGACTAATCAACAATGTATAGCAATCCTTACTTACTTAATACATAATATGTATGCACCCAATGTAAGACCAACATACCTTCTCATTGGGATCAGCTCTGTCATTCCAATATAAGTCCTTTGATTGCAGTGCTGTAGATGTACTGAGGTTTCGGTTGAAAAGTCTCCAGGAGAACTGCAAGCAAATAATGTGTTAATTTTATGTAATCACTTGTCAATGAGATGTCTAATTATGTATATGGGGAAGCAACTCTGTTCTGATATTTGATCAGTTTCCTTCTTTGATTAGTTTGTATATTAGTTTGAGTAAGTTGACTAGCACATTGAAAACTAGCAAATCCAGACTGAAGCTAGATGAAATGGTGACATCTGAATCTTGAAGTCTATATTTGCATTATATCTGAGTAAGAAACATTTACACTGAAGGTAGGCTACAAATGTCAAGTCGTATAGGTGGGTTGGCTTCATTAAGATATGCACAAAGACGTTACAACATAATCGATAATAAATTGGATATAACATTAAAGGGAAAATATTTAACTGTAGATTTAGACAAGTTGCAGTAAAATGAAATGAACAGAATTGACACAATGCCAGGTTTACTTTTTTAATCTATGTATATTTGACATATAGGCTCTTTTTTATTATCTATATGTATGTCTACTCAAAACCGTATGAAAATAAAATAATTGCTATTGATCAATAATTCTCATGTTGTACTTTTGTGTTGAAGACTGAAATCAAATTCTCCATCACATGACAAACAAAATACCACATCAGGTTAACTTTATATTTATATTCATGTTCTAAAGGTATTTGAAAGGCAGGTAATAACTGACATAAATATCAAGTCTCCCTTGTTCTTAATATGTTATGTTTGGTAAATTATGTATAAAAGTAAGATGTTTATACTTAATCAATAATTCTATGTTGTACATTTATGTCAAAGGACAGAAGTCAACTGCCCATTAAACAATCAACAAAATACCAGATCATCAATTTTGTTTCCCTCAGGTCATGAAAAAAGATCCCATATTAAAACAGGGCTCTCGATCTGCCAGATTTGGGGCCGAATCCCAATGCAAAATAGTATCTTTCCCAATTCTAAGGGCCCCAGGCCCCAGTCCCAAAATGGGGCGTGAGAGCCCTGTTAAAAGACAACGAAAATGATAACATTACTTATGATAGCAATTAACTGAGAACACTTTAATACTGTGAGATTGTTTGTATTACATTATATGGGAGAAGTTCCATACAATCAACATGTCTACATTACAGGAATTAATACAACAGAGAAAAATTCTTTCGGAATTGAAAATGCAAGGAGCATCCATGCCCAGGTCTCTTCATATTTTTAAGCACTAACCAGCTACCCAAAATATCTATGTATTATTTTTATTTGATATTTTCAACAGAATGTCATATAAGCTTCACTCTTTCCAGGCACGGCCTTACTCATAACACTTAACAAATAGCTGATTGATTCAAAGTCATGACCAAAACCATGTTTTCTGTTTATTTACTGCATATTGCATTTCTCACAGCATAGACAAAAACATGATACAAATGATTTTAAAAAATTGAAATGATGCCTCCTTTTATTGCAATTTTTCAACTGAAATTCGTGTGTTTTCAATGACCCTGAATTTGAGTAAGTAACCGATATTTGTACTCAAAGCCGTAACTAATGTTATCCTTCAAATCTACCAAGTAATGACCTACTGCAACTTAGTGAAGTTTATGTCATGTTTGAGAGGGACAAAATGTGCACAATGAAAAGAAGAAATGGATAGAAAAAAAGCTGGACTTATTACCCATAGGAGGAGTTGTGCACAACCTGTTAAATGAAATAAAATCAGATTGTTCAGCAATTTTATAGCTTGTTCTGTGGTTGAAACGCCATTTTTTAATTTGACAGTGGGGCGAAACGTCGCAAGCGGATGCGAAATGTCGTAGCAATGTATTGGGGGCGAAGCGTCTGGTATCCTTGATACCACATCACCTACACTGGCTACAGAATTATTTGTTCATATGTTTCAATAATGTACAAAATGTGATGAAATAAAACACATTTTAAACGTTGCACCTGAAGCAAAATGGTTATTCGTAATTAAATTAGCCTATAATTGTACCTGACATCCGCAGGTTCTTGACGAAGTCGCTGTCGATAAAAGTCCTTTCGACTTTGACAATCGAAAACAGACGGAGGCCGCCATGTTTGTTCGCCGGACTGCAGGAAACTCACAGGAGTGCGAGAAAGCAAATGACATTATCTTACTATAGTTATTGTCTTTAAGGATCCAAGTTTTCAATAATAATTTATATTTTTGTGAGAACTTTTGAATATCTAGAAAATTAAACGAGAAAATAGAATTCTCGTTAAAATTTACAGGTACGAGATTATCTCATTACCATAATATCGCTGCATCTTTCTGTCATATGTATTTATGGCTCTACAGGACTTTTATTTTCAAATTGTTCCGCAGATGATACTGTTCAGTCCAGATATTGCAGGTCGCAGAGTGGTCCTTGTATGAAACCAAGGTATGACACGTAGTTGATGTTTTTTGGTAATGTGAAAGTGGAATCACCGGAAAATGTCGGCCATATTGACAAAGGTTAAAATTTCCTGCAAATATACAAGGACTATTTTGTCAAGATCGTATGATTTCATTGTTTTGCTTTAGTATCAGCTTGTTGACGATGCATACTACTGTATGGCAGCATAAGCTTTAATTTAGCAAAGACGTACATGACTCATGAGATTATCGATTGCGTAGATCATTCGCCGTCTGAGCAGAGCTTATCTTGACGGAATGTTTATTGTCAGTTGCCGATATTGCACGATGAATGTACTTTGACAAGATTTGTTTCAAATTGTGTTGTTTCAGTTAAGTCTGGACCACGAAAATTATAGACGTAAACAACGTTCATTTTACATTTCTTGCAAAGGTTTCTTCTTCGTCATTGTGAGCAGAGATTGCAGATCTGACATTTGACAGAAGAGTCTTGCGAATTTTTTCTTAAGGGTGTAACATTTCCACTTCAACATTCTAATTACTTCAATCTTCGGACCTGCCTTCATGTTTGTATATGCAATGATTTGAATGTGCTGAAGTAACTTGATGGGTTGGATACATGGTTTTGATCTCTGTAACTCCTCCTATCCTGAAGTAACTACTACCATACTATGTCTATGTGTTACTATATATAAATCTATATATGAAATTAACTTCTTGCTAAAGCTATGTGTTTTGGCATAAATTACTGATTCCTGATGCATTAATCTGCAATTTTGCAGCTGACCATAGTATTTGTATTGTAGACATTTCATAATTAAGTAGAGTTTGTAAACTTATTTGAATATAGTTGACCTATAATCTGAACAAGGAAGGTAAAAGAGCGCAGAAAATTTGACAAGGTTCAAATTGACCTTTCACATTAAAATTCAGAAATTTCCACTAGCCCTAAAATGAATGTTAAGTTCTGTGTATTGACTAGGTGGTTTAGTACATCACAGTATGTAATGTTTACTCTTAATCTCTAGAGCCAACATAATTCCCAGTCAAAGTGGTTTGAATTTTTAAAAGTGTCTGTTATTCAAGGCAGGTTGTGATAAAAATGTACCAGGATTCCTGAAGATTATAAACAGCTTTAGTGTATAAATATAAAAAAATTCTTTTATACTTTCATGTCAACTGAATATTACTATCTCACTCGATGGCTATATGTATGTGAAAGGTATGCAGTTTTTTGTATTTTTTAAACATTATATTTTTTCAGTAAACTGTTGGAATGTATAGCCAACAGAAATAGCTATCAGAAAAGTTTTCTCTCCAATTACCCAGTTTTCAGTCTTGCAGCATTTCTTGAATTCCTCAAATGTCAACTTAAAGCCATTATTTGACTGTTAATAGGTGCTGTAACAACAGATATTTAACATTCTCAAATGTCTGGATGAAGTTTCTTTTACTTAAAGCTCCACAGATAATTCAAAAGCCCGAAAGAAATTTCAGATATTTTTAATTTGTCGGTGTTGATTTACGATCTATCAACTTCAGTTTTGTCCGGATAGTCTCCTAAGCAACTTTCCATCAATAATTTTGTGCCATTCTTCTTGTACACTTGAGTTCCTTTGTGTTAGCTATATTAAAGAAACTGGAACAGTGTTTGAGATATGGTGTTACAATTATTAGAAGTTTATAGATTAAATGTTAATATGTGTTTGTCAAAAACTAGAATTTGGTAAGGTTAACAAAAATAATAAAAAAAAATCATGACATCTAAGTTTGTTGGTAATTTATAACATTTCGAGCAAAAATACTATTGAAACTGCACATGTTTATACAGTCTTCATCAGTCTTTCTTTGGACTGATCAGTGAAGAAGGCCTAAGTAGAGATTGTTTGGTGGATTTGAGGCAAGAGAGATTAGTCATAATCCCTACCTTATGCGTTTACTGAAAAATATTGCTGTAACTGCCAGATTCAACCTAAATATTATCAACTACAAAATTAAACATGAATTTCCATTTCGATGAATTTGGATAAGATATGAGCTTTATCCAGATATGAATTATCAGAAAAATACCTTGGATATGTTATGTGTTATGGGTGTTATATTTTACAGATCATCAAAGTTGCTACCTTAAGCAATATACACTAAAACATGTGTTTCCCCAGATTCAAATACAATGATACATGATGCTCAGACATAACGATTTTTAGACAACTGAACCCAATCCAGTGTGATGAGATACAAGCAAGTGCTGAAACTGAAAAATTGAAAAATCAAATTGGACCAAAAATTTTAAGTGTTTATGGTTTTATTATTAGATTATTCAATTCCTATATCAGTGTCTATAACAGACAGTCAGACATTATTCTCACATTAATCATGTTTCCGATCTACGATTTTTTGTTTGTTTTTTCGTTTTGGGAAGTTGATTAAATCAAAGTTGAGATGTCAACAATTTAATAATCGATTTCACACACCATTCATCAAATTTTCAGTATTTTGATGTGTTGTCTATGAAATGATCAAAGTTTCTTGTTTTATGTTAGTGTTATAAACATTCCGTCCTGATTACTAGAGTGTTTTCCGTGTTGTTACTGTCAGTGAACCTCACTCACTTAGGTAAATGAAGCTTTCCTGTGACAATTATGATTTAGTCCTACGCTTAGCAACATATACTAAAATCGGGATCAGTCCACAACAGTTGAATGATTCCTTTTCTAAACATTGTTAAGTTCAGTTACTTGAAATGTTACAAAAAGTGAGATTCTTGATATTTTTTACTTGAACTATCAATCACGGAAGTAATAAGAAACACATGTGCATGTATGATTAGGAATCTTAAAATGCAGAAACACAAATTATATTAAATGTCTGAGGTATTTAATATTCTTCTGAAACGACCAAAAAAATGTGAAATAATAAAAAATAATTGATCATCAGTTGATGTTGTCACACTGATGATAGATCTTTACAAAAGCTAATGAGTTCCAGCACTAACAACTACCTGGAGACCCCTACTCAAAATTACCTTGGCTGTTCAGAGGGTGATTAACTTGGCAAACAAACAAGCAAAACATGGGGAACCCTTTTTTTCCATTCTACCCCAATATGAAAATTGATAGAATTCCGTTTCCAGACAACTCTGCTTGGATTTGTTGACAGATTTTGTTGATTTGGGCATTAATTTTTTCCCCAGCTTATTATCATAGACAGCCACAGAGACTGCTGCTTTGATTTGATTCATTAAGGCTCGTAAAATTGATAAGTATTTTACTGATTTCCTTCAAGCTTGTTTCAGCTTCCATTGTATCTGAAGCATGTGTTTGACTGAAATAATGCCCTCAAAGATTGATATTGTCAGTAAATCAACTTGTGGAGGATAGAGAAATTATGCTAATATTAATTAGTTAATTTTTCACTTTAATTGCTGTGAATTGTTTGTCAATTACTTATTGTGGAAAATTCAAGAAAAAGTAAAAAAGTTGTTTCTTTTTTTTCAGTCTACAAAATTGTAGACAATGACCATTGTGATGAGAGGGAGTCCAGCTGGGGGAGACTCCCCCCAAGATAACACACAACAGCAGCAACAGCCACAGGGGGGAGGCCAACCACCGCAGGCAGGACCAGCAGGAACTGCCGCCCAGCCACCACAGCAACCACCTCTACCCCCTGGCTCAGCCCAGCCACCAGCCCTACCCCAGGGGTCTACCCAACAATCTCAGCAAACTAGCCCAGGACAATCTTCCACCAGCACCGATGTGGATGGTAGTCAGGATGACACAACCATGGTTGGTGTTGACCTAGTTGAAGGTCAGGTGCCAGACTTTCCTGTTCAGGAGTTGTCGAGATTAGATGAAATGATAAATCGTCCTAGATGGGTTGTTCCAGTTCTACCAAAAGGAGAACTGGAAGTACTTCTGGATGCTGCAATTAAACTCTGTAAAGAAAGTAAGTCCTAGTTCTCCTTTATCATTTATCTATTATACATTGTTTTTTTGTGGGTTTTTTTTTTCTTTCATTTACATATAGTTACAGTTTATTTCTAAGTATTTACATGTACAGTTATTTTGTATGTTTAATTCTTACATTTCAGAATTGGACACCAGGAGTGAACATTGCCAGAGATTTTTCAGGGAAGGTCTCAACACATCGTTCACGAAAATAATGACTGATGAGGCAGTCAGTGGGTGGAAATATGAAATTCATGTGAGTACATTTCATTAGTCAGTATTTTCAAACTATTACCAGTCATCTGAAAGTCTATCATGAACATTATTTGGAATATCTTTAACACATGCTGTATATGTCAAGAGGTCATGTTTTCTTACTACAATTTTCATTGTTAGGTTGGTAACATTAGCTAATGATCACCATTTTAAATTTTAGATAACATAATTACTGCATAATAACAAGAAGAAAATATGACATCATAATTGGTAAAAAAATGATAGCAAAATTTTGACTAAAGAAAGATTTACACGAAAGCCCTTTTGAAAAGTTCAAAGAGAATAAAATTTGGAAGGTCAGGAAGGTTGAACATTTTCTAATTTATCTATGACAACTTCCATGTAAATCTTGGTCAGTCTTAGTAAACAGTGTCTCATTATCCAATGTGAAGGAGGTAAACATGAAAACTACCAAACCTGCTAACATCTCACATCTCTTGCTTCGTGTCTCATCAGATTTGAAATGAAAGTGTTCTAAGTTTATCTACCAGATGTCAAAATCTTTCATAGAAATATAATAGGAAAGTTTATTTATACAATTACATACAAATTATTTTATTTCGATAATTTCACAATATTGAAAATGAAATATTTTGATGTCTGACATTTCTTGAGGCAGGTGAAGGTGCTTCAATTTCTATTTTGATGAGTACTGAATTATTTGTATTTGTTACTTACAGAGGTGTATTCTGAAGAATGCAGAAAAGATGATAGAATTAGCAGTAGCGAAGCTAGCAGATGATTGGTTCCCTCTCTTGGAATTATTGGCTATGGTTTTAAATCCTGTTTGCAAGTGAGTGATTAGTCAGAGGAATTTGAATGCCATTGTGCATCATTTTGTGCTTTTTTTATCAATAAGTAGTATCAGTCATACAAAAAAATTAACATAAAAATCCTCATTTGCCATTTCAATTTATTTTTTGCAGGTTCCATACCTACAATGGCACTAGGCCATCAGAAAGTGTTCCTGCTAACACAACTGTAGCAGATGATGTGTTATTTGCTCGACCACCTGATCCACGCACACCCAGAGTAAGTAAAGATAGGGTTGCCTTGCTGATATCTGTAACAAGTTCATTGGAATGAGATAAGTGCATGTGACCTTGAAATACTCTTAGAGAGAAGTTCCATGTACTGCTAATGGTCATAATTCAACATTCTTATCGTTACAAATTTAGGAAGTAAGAGAAAAAATCACATTACTTCAAATTATCACAATTGATACATTACCAATGTTTAAGGGTTTGAACTTTAAAATTTCATTCTTCAAATTTGAAACTTGCTTTTGTTTTGGTTTTTGTTTCGAACAGCATAATGAAGTACTATTTTCCCTTTGTTCTAGGGTTGGTTGGTAGACCTTGTAAACAAATTTGGAACAATGGAAGGATTTTCTATGTTACTGGAGCGCTTTACTGGAGGGCCGCAGTTGTCAGTACCAGTTATTGCTGCCCTTATAAAGTAAGTTGATTGTCCAAATTAATACAGTTATAAGTTCAGTCACTTTAAGTTGACAGAGATATCTCCAACAAAAATTAAAATTGATTAAGTCTGCCTCAATTCTTTAAAATCTTTAAAACATTATCAAGCATATTCAGATATCTGCCAAAGGCCATTGTTTCTTTTTCTGCAGTACTTTCACATTGCAGTGGATCTACTAAATGCTCCCTGATTAGGCTGTATTTGTTATTGTAGAATATTTAAAGATTGCAAAGTTAAGTCTTAGATGTTAATAACACCAAGACCCTAACACCAGATATTGCTGTCCAGTGTGTCTGGCTAGATGTTACAGAAAGATAAAATGTGTATCAGAAATGTTAAATTTCATGTGTGAATGTGATCCATACACAGTCTTATACCTTAGCAGAAAAGAGAAATTATCTTACAAATTAACTAAAAGGATACTCAAGGGACTGCTGTTTGTGTTTAAGAGCAATAAATAGTCATATAGAACTGAGCATTATCAATCAGAAACATGCTAGGAAAATTTGTTTCATTATTAATAAAGTTGCATTATATGTTACATGAATTCCCAAGTTTATTCTTGAAACCAAAGTTCCTTCAGCATAGTTTATACTCATGTGAACTAATTTATAGTTCAAATATGACAGTTATTATTTCTTTTGTTTCACAGGCCATTTGGACAGTGTGCTGAAGTGCTAACCCCACACTGTGTGGAGAAATTTTTTATGCCTATAGTTGTAAGTATTTAATAAAAGAATATTCAAAACATGAAAAAAGAACTGTGTCAAACAAATAATTCAAATAAAGCCTTGTATAGTGAGACAATAAAGTTGAAACAAAGAACACTAAAAGGTAATTTAACAGAATGAAAATGAAGTTAGGAATGTTGCAAACTTAAATGCTTTTACAATTTATAAGTATATGTACCACATCGGTATTAAAGATTTGTACCTACCTACATATATATATATATATAAATATATATTTCAATAAATGTCTTTATGCAGGCAATTGTGCCAAAGTTCCTGGATTCATTGACTGATGAGGAATTGAAGAAAGAGTCAAAGACGGAAGCAAAGAATGATGCTCTGTCATCTATAATCAAAGCTCTGAAACAACTTGTATATAGACTACCTAACCAGGAGGAAAAAATCAAAGCTCTAGAGACTTTCAGACTCAAAATGATACTGCGGTAAGTCTGGATAGTATTAGATAAGAATTAAGGCAGGGCTAATTCATAGATATATTTGGAATGACAGGAATATATTTTGATCTGTAACAACAAATGCAAAAATGTATTAGTAAGGCTCTTTTTATATTACTTTCTTGGGAAAGTCCATTTTCCAGTGGACAACCTAAAAAAAAATTCATGATTCCTTTTCAACTTAATTGCTTAAATAATGAGTCCCACTATGTAAAATTTGATTATTTCTAAACATTCTATAAGTCATCAAAATTATTTGTGTACATGACTCCAGACTCGCATGTAGATTTATCACTGATTTTTATAACTGAAGATCTGCTGATTAAAATCCAGCAGCTGTTGATCATCTATAAGGATAATGGAGTTTACCTGGAAATTCTGTAAAGTTTAGCAGTTAATTGATGCAATGTATAAATTTTACATGCTGATTCAATTTTAGAATATTTCTGTCGTCCATCAATTGCTGGCTAATTTCCAATTTTCATGGATATTTACAGATTGTTGAAGATCTCTTCTTTCAATGGTAAGATGAATGCATTAAATGAGGTGAATAAGGTGATAGCCAACGTGTCATTCCAGTCAAGTAGGCATTCACAGGTGGATGAGGATGAATGGCTAACAGCTGAAAAAATGGCGGTAAGTTAGTCTGATTAGATTTCACATTTATAGCAGAACCAGAAAAATCATGGAAAATAACTAATTTAGAATCCCTGGATACGCTTATTGTAAAGTTTAGTTAAATTTTTTATTAAGTAAATGTAGGTGAATGAAGAGGAAATGTCTTATTTCTTAGTGTATATATTGTTTATCATTTTTGTGTTGTAGGAGTGGATACAGAACAACCATGTGTTAACAATTGTTCTTGGAGATAGTCTACATCAGCCTCAGTATGTGGAGAAACTGGAGAAGATCCTGCGCTTTATGATCAAGGAGAAGGCTCTTACAGGCAGTGACCTTGACACACTCTGGGAAGCTCAGGTAGAATACACATGCAAAAATAACACTTTAAAGAACATTTTCACCTCTGATTGCTGTTGAAGCAGGCACCATAGTGTATTATCAATTCAAAACAGCACAGTACATTGATAACCTGACAAAAAAAAATCAATTCCAGGTAAAATGCAAAAATGATATTCTGTAACTTAATGTCCCTCTCATTTTTTTTTAGTTTAATATTTTCACATCTGTGTAGTTTTTTATTAAATATCATGGATACATGAAAATTGAACCAAATTGCCTAGAATTGTCCTGTATTTTAAAACTTTTCCTGTGTTGTCAAAATTGATATAGTTAGAAACTGTTTCTACACTTTGTGATATACTTAAAACTGGCCTACTGTCCCTACAAAGGCAAATTGTTGCAATAGGGATAGATATATGTAGAAAAATTAGTCTTAAAAACAAGGTCCTTTCATTCTGAAACATTTTGTTTTGGGAGTTGCAAAAGCACTGTAGATAAAAATAATTTTTGCTGTTTCAAAATTTGCATTGTTTTGGCTTTTGTGTGTATTATTGTCATAGCAAAAAATATTGTATTTCAGTCCGGCAAACACGATGCTATTGTCAAAAATGTACATGACTTGCTAGCAAAGTTGGCATGGGATTTTTCACCTGAACAGCTAGATCACCTGTTTGAAGCTTTCCAGGTAAATGGAACATTTGGCATGCTTATTTTTTCACAACTTTTTTGGCTTCTGCTAAACTTGTCCTTTGCTGCTACTGATGTAATTACTCTGTCAGTGTAGTTGTAAATATGAAAAAGTGACTTTAGCTTTGAATTCTTGAGTGTGAAGCCTCGTGTAGAGCTATGTCGGTATCCTTATGTATGATCATTGAATTAAAAGTTGACATGACACTTTTGTGAAGCACAGTTTTGTTTATCATAGTTTAAAAATATTTAGAAAAGGAATAAACATTTAATTTATGATGTTAGAGGATGTATACTTGCTTCTGATTATCATTGTGGGAGTGCTAGTAGAATATGCTACATGAGGGAGTCTCCTGGATGTCGATAAATTAGTGATTTGAATCAAGCTAATGCCTTTCTTGTCTGCAGGGGAGTTGGACTCAAGCTTCAAAGAAACAAAGAGAAAAACTTCTGGAGCTGATTCGCAGGCTTGCCGAGGATGACAAAGAGGGAGTGATGGCACACAAAGTACTGGGGCTGTTGTGGAACCTGGCACATAGTGAAGATGTACCCACTGAGATAATGGACCAGGCTCTCAACGCTCACATCAAAATCCTGGATTACAGCTGTTCTCAGGTAACTTGTCAATATATAGTGCCTCTATTAGTTAACTTATTACGCATTTCACAGGGGATGTTAATTTGGGTTCCATCTTTTGACTTCTTGTATTACTCCAGAGCTTTTGCATTTGCAGAGAGTGTTGCATGAATTTGTTCGTGGACAATACCAAGTTCTTATCAAATACCGGTAGCCATACACACAGGATCTACATCAAGATATAAACTCTTACTATAAGGTTGTGGAGATAAAAGGCACACAGGGTCTACATCAAGATATAAACTCTTACTATAAGGTTGTGGAGATAAAAGGCACACAGGGTCTACATCAAGATATAAACTCTTATTATAAGGTTGTGGAGATAAAAGGCACACAGGGTCTACATCAAGATATAAACTCTTATTATAAGGTTGTGGAGATAAAAGGCACACAGGGTCTACATTAAGATATAAACTCTTACTATAAGGTGGTGGAGATAAAAGGCACACAGGGTCTACATCAAGATATAAACTCTTATTATAAGGTTGTGGAGATAAAAGGCACACAGGGTCTACATCACGATATAAACTCTTATTATAAGGTTGTGGAGATAAAAGGCACACAGGGTCTACATCAAGATATAAACTCTTATTATAAGGTTATGGAGATAAAAGGCACACAGGGTCTACATCAAGATATAAACCCTTACCATAAGGTTGTGGAGATGCACGGAAATTTAATTGATAATTGACAAAAGAAGACATTACATTTTGCACTAGCACTTTCACTGTATTAGATCTTCAGGTGATAGTAGCAGTACATAATTAGGTGATGTCACAAATTGTTATACCGATGTGTATATATATATTTATTATATTTGAGTTTTACACCAACAGCTTGGTGCAGGGGATAATGCCACGCTTAATAGCTTCTGTTGTGATTATCATTTTTATTTTTATCCTTCCCTTATTTGTGCAAAAAGAAGTAAATTTCAATGAATGAATTCAAACTGACATATTCCATTTTATTGGCTAACACTCCAAACAAATTATTGTCTGATTAACACATTTTTGATGCCAATTTCTAATGTAAGATGATAATAATTTCACAACTTTATGATAAGTTATATGTGAGCAATACAAAACATACTTTCTGCAACAACAGGACAGAGATACACAGAAGATGACATGGATCACCAAGTTTGTGGAGGAGCTAAAGAATGACAAATGGGTACTTCCATCCCTGAAACAGATAAGAGAAATATGTCAGCTTTTCCCAGAGGTAAGAAAAAAGGATACGGGAACTGTATTTTCCCAATAGATGTGTACTGTTCTCTCTGCATATTCGTCAGGATATGAAAGCTAGTCAAAGTCCAAAGTTCATAAAGTTGTATTTATTTACACAAACAAATGAAACAGAAGACAATCTATTTTATCTTATATAAGACTAATGGTTCTCCCACTCAGGCTCCACAGAATTTCCCCCATCCACCACAGCGAACTCCACATGTATACTACAGAAACATGGTGATCAGTCAGCTGCAAAGTAACCACTCCATTGTAATGTTACTGGCACAGAATCTCTCCTCCTACATGACAAAGGCAAGGGCCTATGCAAAAGGTGAGTACTCTCAAACTCTATATTTGTTCAGCATGTTCATTATACAAGGTAGTGACATTTTTTCTGCTGATTTGATGCATGTAACTACTACAAGCAATTGTCAACAGCTTAATGTGTGCAATATACAGAGTAAAATCTATTGAAAATTCAAATCATATTCACCTGTTTTAATTTTGGTGGTTACTGGTATTATCAAGTTTTTTAAATGAAAAGACGGTAGTTCAAATCTCTGTATATTGCTTCTTTGATCCAACTAACGAAATATCCTTCAAAAATTTTGTATTCTCAGGGTTTTCCATAAGAGCCGGTTGCCGACCAATTTGACCGGCTACTTTGATCATTTGGCCGCCTACACCAATCCACTTCCGTAATAATGTTCCGTACACGACTACACATACACGGCCTACTACTAACAAAATTATGGAAAACCCTGATTCTCTCTCTCAATTCATAATATATCAAGAAATATCAGCATTTTCATATGACTTTTGTAAGGTCTCTGTTGCTATGTATAGCTTTTGTTGTTACAGAGTTTCCAGAATCTGACTCTGCTAACATTTTACCAGACGGACGATTTAACCATATACTACAGATACAGGAAAGGTTGAGGTTTCTAAGGTAAGCTTTGGTACCAACAGAATTTTGGGATCTTTATGATAAAAAAGTTGATATAAGACAGTCTTATTTCAAATTTTCTTTTAATCTTTAGTCCATATCTAATCTTTAGTCCTTATCTAATCTGTATTCCATATCCAAATGTGATTCTTCATGTATACATTTCAAAATGGGAGAAAATGATTGATTTCACTGACATTTGAAATACAAACTTATTGTAAAGTTTTTCCAGTTGTGCATAAAAGCTAGAATCCAAGAGGTTTTCCCCATCTATACATTAAATTCATTCCACATTGAACTGCTTCCTAAATTTAGGTAATTACTGTGTTTTAATTGGCAATGTTTGCTGGTCATATTTTGGTGTTTCTGGAGACACTATATATTAAAAGTATAAAATGCTTGGATGCTGTTTTTGTGCCTCAAACACCACCACTTCCTAATGTTATTCACCATTACTTCACTTTTTTATATCAGATATTTTTTCCAATTAAATAGACACATCTTATGTTGAAAGATAATTCAGTAAATGTCTGTTTCTCTAGGTTCCTTTTGAAGGATGGTCAGCTGTGGCTGTGCGAGTCCCAGGCCAGACAGATCTGGCAATGTCTGGCAGAGAACGCTATCTATACCACAGATAGAGAGTCATGCTTCAAGTGGTTTGCAAAGGTAAAGAATTTACAATCTGCTGATTAGATTTTTAGGGGCACCGATAAGGAAAGAAATTGGAACTCACAGAATGTGTAGAAAATGCGATGACAATATACCATACACTTTTCTTATATTTTCACTTCAGTTGATGGGGGAAGAACCGGACTTAGACCCGGAAATCACTCGTGATTTCTTCGAACAAAATATTCTTCAACTGGATCCCAGTCTCCTCACAGAAAATGGAATGAAGTGAGTTAAATAATAATGAACTTATCTGGTACAAATGCATAAATCTTTACAACTTTTAAAAAAACAAGACAAAAAGCCAATGTTCCAAAACAAAGGAATATGATTTACAACTAGTTTGTATAATATATATAAAAAAAAATAATAAAATCAGTGAATTTTTATATTAAGGATGATCTGATACAAAACAATGATGTACTGTCATGTTCAGATATAATCAGTAATTATCTGTGAGTTTGACTGTTGAGGATATTCTGATATACCATAAAGATATACTGTCAGGTTTTACTCATTGCTTACAGCTGTTTTGAGAGATTCTTTAAGAATGTGAATGTAAAGGAGAGTAAACTAATTGCCAAACGAAGAGGAGGTCACATGATGGATGATATGGAGCTGATTGGTCTAGACTACATGTGGAGAGTATGTTTCTGAATTTTAAGTTCACAACATCATTTGAAACTGGAAAATATTGATAACAAAATAGATTATGTTTAGATTCATATTTAGTATTAATTCTCAAAAACATATGTTTAATCGAGATGTTTTAATTCCGTATTCTAAGTTTATTTTTATTCCATTCATAGCAGTAATATTTCAAGTTTTTTGAAATGCTAGTTTTTTCTTGTTTTCTTGATGATATTTAGTGATTGTGATTCTCGTTTTAATATGTTTTGTTTTCTAAACTTTCCAGGTTGTGCTGTTAAGTCCAGATGATGTGTCAAACAAAGCAATTACATTACTTAAAGACATTTTCACTAACTTGGGTCCACGTTTGTTACAAAACCAAGTAGAAATTCATGAGGACTTCATCCAGTCATGTATTGATAGACTCAAAGCTATATATGATACTGTGAGTGTGTTAGAGAAGGATAAAGACAGTACAAATCGTGTAATGCAGGAGACAACACGGATGGTGCGAGTTCTTACTGTGTTAAAAGAGTATGTTGCAGAATGTGATGAGGCTTACAATGAGGAGAGGACCATCCTTCCACTTAGTCGGTAAGATAGATAAAACACAAAAAATGACACCATATTTTTATTATTACAAATAGTGTTGACTTCAGAAAAGGTGTTCCTCCTCCCTGTTTCAATACTCTTCATTAAAAGTACTAATTTAAGTGATTTTATAATAATTTGTAGAATCCATTTAACAAGAGTTTGCCCTGGTGAAGTTTTTCTCTTTGAACATTCATTTGTTAGAATGACCATACAAATTCCTTTGCTTAGCCATTTCAAATGGTTTTTTTTGTTTGAACAAGTGGTAAACCTGACTTGTGTTAAATTTGTTCCTTATTGCACTTTCAGTGCTTGCCGAGGGAGATTGGTGTCTTTGATATTACGATTTCCAAGCCAAGGTCGCCAGCCAGATGACCTTGATATCTGGTCACACACTAATGACACTGTAGGCGCAATACGAAGACAAGTGTTAACCAGGGTCAAGGCCGCTAGCAACATCAAAGTAGATTTATATGCAAATGGAGAGATCCTGGATCCTGCAGAGGACAAACGCCTCATCTCCCAAGTTCCTCTCCGAGACAAAACTGTAAGATATTGATCGATGTTTTTCTTTTTCAGTGTGAAATGATTTATTTGTTTACTGATATATTTTTACATTTCTTTCATCTTAATAGGATTAAAAGGTGGCTTTCAACTATAGTCATTATTATTTATGTAACAGTAATACCTAGAATTAAGACATTTATGATATTTCTGTATTAGAGAATTCTGTAAGTCAAATGTTATTCTGTATTGAATTTGTCATCAATTTGTCAATTTACTTATGTATAATTTTATTTTGACAGCTTATTTCTGCCAAGCTTGTCCAAGTTGGAAATAACATGCCATCTAGTCCAGATAGTAGTTCTGATAGTTCTGCAGGCTCTCCTCACCACACGTTTGATGGCCCCAACATAGAGGCTGAGAACTGTCTCCCAGGCGTGGTATGTCATTTAGTGTTTTCAACATGATGACTCCATCTTAAAATATGTAATAATTAAGTAAATTCTGGAGATAAAAACCTTAATTCATTTTGAGTGGAAAATAAATATAAGAAAGCAAAGACAAAAGGGTTTTAAGTGTAATGCATGCAAAAATAGCACATACATTTGATTTGTTCAATCAGAACTTTTCACATAAGTGTACATAACAAATTATATAAGTAAGTATAAGTAATATTCTTATTGTCAGTTGTTTGTATATTTCAGTTGATATCCAACAATTTCAAGTACACCCAGTTCCTGTTCCAGTTATCTGACCTTGGTTGTCAGTTACAGGTTCCTAAACTCCGAGACACTGCCAGAATACTTCTCAAAATAATGCCTGCCGGTATGCTCATGCTATCATTCAGTGTCATGTCATTAGCTCAATGTTCTAAGTACAGCTCTTGTTGTCAGTCTTTATGTTCTCGGTAATCAAAACCTGCAGTCATGATTTTGGTTCAGAAAAGTGGGTTTAAATCTTGTAAACAATATCTTGATAACTAGACTCAAATGAAGGGTCATTATGTTTAGAATTAATGATCTGGACTCACTTTCATGACAGATGGGTTAAAATCTGTAGACTGACTTTCTGAATGACCTCTAGGATGTTGTTATATGTTAGAGTAACATAGCTTGAGTGAAGGGATATTGTATTTAGAATTAGATGAATGCCAGGTAACTTTAAAATGGCCATAAAATAAAATTAAAATATTTCAAGGAAAGTTACCAAAGAATGCAAACTAGAAATATTCTGGCTTACCTGTATCTATGAATTTGACCCTACCTATAGCCATTAGATGCTTGACAGATAAACGATGCTGATCTGTTGTTTTGTAATGGTGCTAATTTTTGGGTGATCTTTAGATACAAGCATTTAGTTGGAAAGTCCAAATTAGGTGATAGATACATGTATTTGATGTCACATGGCTTTCAGATATCAAATAATCTGATGTATATGATTCTGCTTGGCTCCTTAAACAAAAACAAAAAAGTATAATTACTGTTCTGTCAGATATTTTACATAATTTTGGACAATTTAATGATATAAGTTTGATTGGCTCTTGCAGAGGTACAATAACAAATCCTATATCTTTATATGATTTTTAGATGTGTACAACATATGTAAACTGCTTTTACAGATACTCACACTGTGGATAAACTGCGAAGTATATGTGCAGAAAACACTAGATCTGAAACCTCCCTATCACAACAGTTAGAGCTTTTGTTTTTCAATTCCTCCACGACACAGACTTTGTACAATGTTGAGGTAAGTTTTGTGAAGAAGTGTTGTATCTGTTGTCACTATAGTGACCTATTTAGCATTGTATTGCAGCATAACATGAGAGATTTGCCAATATTTCATTTGATAAGTATTTTATTGTTTGTTGTGTTTGATTTTGAAAAGGAACTGAAAAATTTGTGGCTTGACTTGGCTTGTTAAAAGACAGAACTGATATTTCAATCCTATTCTTGCACTATGCTGAATTCAGTTCAGCGAATGAAAAATTGTGAAAGATTACTGATTGTTGAATTTTTTCGTGGTACAGGTGTGTTACAGCCTCCTGATGCCTGCTGGGGAACCACTGTCAGAGGATGCTTTTGACTTTCAGGTTTGTATTTATGATGACAAGCCACAAAGTTGTACTCTGACTTTTAACAAAAGTATTCTCGGAGAGATATTGTTGAGAGTATATCAGAAAAATGTTTTGTGAGGAAATAAATTTTATTGTCTCTTGTACTTTAAAGTCAACAGTTATAGGTTTTATACAAATTTTGGATGTAAACCTTGTACAACACTCATGTAGCTCACATTTCACCTTTTTTTTTCAGTTTAATTTTGTGAAGAGTGGAGGAGTGCAGTTATCCTTGAATATGTTAACAAAAAATAATTTCATGCCAGCTGCAGATTTACACTCAAAAAGGTAATTTCATTTGAATAAGAACTGGATAAGTATTTTCAATTCTATGTTTATTCCATCAGTATTGAACTGTTCTGGTTTAGACCTTTAGATAATATTTCTAATTATATTTATTAATTGATAAAATAGCACTATGTATAATGAGTACCATGTGTCAGGATGAATGTTCTCATGATAATACTTGTAACATTTTTTCAGACGTAATAGTCGACACAGGAATAGTAAAAGAAATGATAAAGCAAATAAACACGTATTTGAATGAAATACTCTTTTGATGGGAAAATGGAGCAACGAGGAGATTTTTTGCATGAATTTTCCCAAAGTTAACTTTCAAACTAAAGTATGTTGTAACAGTATTTGTCTGATACAAGCTTTTTAGCATACTCATCTAGGTTCCACCTCAGCCTAACAAATGATATGTGTGTTTCAATCCTCAGTCAATATCAATCCTCAATCTTCAGGCTTTCATACACAAATAAGGTCGATATTGGTGTGGATAAGAAAATGATCAAACGTGAAAAAAATGAAATAAAAAAGTTTGCACATACCACCTGTTACCCAAAAATGTTTCATCTATTTTACCTCTTTAAACATCAGGCATTGAAACATTACAGGTCACACAGATTTTCAAAGTGAAAGTTTCCTGTAAAAAGAAAATAATAATACTGAGACTGAAACTTGCAATTAGAAAATATATTCTGAATTTGAAATAAAAATGGCATACTTTGGCCATATTACTGAGGGCAAAGGTGTAGAGAAATAAGTACAATATGGAACATACTATATTATAGATTTGAGCAAGAGGTTCTGGTCAGGAGAGATACATATAGCAAGAACTTGTGGTCTTGGAGCCTTACAATTTGTTGGTTTGTAGGTAATAGAGTAAATTGAAGTTCATCTTAATGAGCCAATTTGCATTATCTGTTCCTGTTGTAGAAATGTGTATGTGACTGTGATGAAGATTTGTAAGTTAATGTTGACAACTGTAAGTCACGCCAAGTTCCAAGTGGTAGTAGATGCATGTAATGCCGACCCTCAGTCCCCAAACATCACTGCAGCAGAGCACAATCATGCAGTGATTCTACAGCAGGCACTCCAGTATATTCCTAACCCCACCTCGGAGTTCACCACCAAGAATGTTGCCATGCGTCTGGGACAACAACTACTGGACCAGGTCAGTCACATCTTGAAGTTTGTATACAGTCATTGACCGCCAGTAACCAGTCAAAATGGCCAATTTTAAATATAGTAGATTTCTGCCAAACCTGCCTGATATATATTTGAGTTTGACAAAGAGGGAAAATGTAGAATTGATTGGTTAGAAAACTGTAGTAACCTTGTATATAATTGTAATTGTATATGTTTTTCTCTCAGGCGACCAAGACAATACCTGATTTAGCTACCATTAAGGCTATACAGAAGATAGCATGGGCCTCTAGTAGCAGTTCACTTCATCTTGTCCATGCCACCAACGAAGAAATCCACAAAGCCCATGAGAAGGTAGGCACCGTTGTGCTTTAATGCAAGTTTACTGATCTTTTTGGGATCTTTACTGTGATTTCTGGAATATCGATGTCTAAAATACTGACTGGCCACTATTCTGATAAACAAGTGTTGAAATCTAGTTTGTAGGAAATAAGAGTTATCTGAAGGATGATATAGATGACTTGTCAGTCTTAACAAAATAAGGTCAAAATATTGATACATGCTGTGGATAATGGATAATAATTCATCATGTAGGGGCTTGGTTAGGAATTATGTTGGATTTCCAATGTGGATTAAATATGGTTTCATTTTGGTATGAACAGGTCACATAGCATGGATCTTTCTGATTTTGGGCTGGTATTTGATTTGAATAATCAATATTATGTGTATATTAAGGTATTGATACAGAAAACAACTGATGACTGTTTCTTCTACAGATTAATTTGTATAGTTGTTTACTTGAACTTTTATGGGTAACCACAAATCACCGTTATAGTGTAAATGTTGTTTGTAGCCAAAGGACCACACAGACTTTGACGACCTGACAGTGGCACGTGAGGCCCTTGAAGTGTTGACAGTGTGTCTTGCACTGTGTCCACCTGCATTAGATGCCCTCAACAAAGACAAAGCATGGCAGATCTTCATCAAAGATCTCCTTCTCCTGTGCAGCCACAGGTAGTCCTACAACTGCTTTTCACTGTTCCTCTGTGTATTTAGATTGTTACATTACATATACTTTGTGATTAATAGTTTTATTTACAAAGATTATCACTTTCAGAATATAAGTCATGTCTGTAGACAAAAGCTAGCATCAGGAAGTAAATTACAACTTGTAACTGGTGTTATGTCAACCTGAATTCCTTTATATTACTTTGCCAAATATGAAATTTAGGAGTCCATGAAAAAGAACTTTCACAAAGGTCACCTTGCTATTTATAGATGTTTGTTAAGGTTGCAACTCTAGCAACTTTAAAATGATACTAACAAATTTTGATCTTGGTTAAAACAAAGTCAAGTCAGAGATTTTATAAATTAATGGCTTGGAGTCCTTATGTACATGGTCAGGAACTTGTGTGAGAACATTAAGGGATTTTTTAACCAGTCCAGTCTCATCATTTTATTGACTTAGGATGTCTTCTGCATTTTACTGTATAATTTGATAGGAGTCTTCTGGGAATAAGTTTTGTGTTTAAAGTTGTTCTAAGGTTAAGACCAACACCACATTTTGAGATAATTATTTCCTCTGCTTTTATTTCTTCACTAATTTTAAACTTTTCTGAAGTGGAAAAAAAGGACAATTTTTTCGCATTGTTCGAAACATCCTCAGTACTCCAGTACTTTCGCTCTCTGCACCCTTGGAACATGTGTTGGTGCAATGCATTGAAGAAACTTGTGGAATAAAAAAGTTTTCATTATATAAGAGGAGTGTCTTAAAATATGATCTAGTTTTACAGCATTGACTGAAAATGAAAATTACCTGATTTCATCTGTTGTAGTCATGTGCGTGTAGCTGCTGCAGAACAGTTTTACTTGATGGCCACTCGCTGCTGTGGAGGAACTCGTCCAATGGTCTTCTTTATCACACTTCTCTTCTGTGAACTAAATGTATGTATAGTTGACACCTATAATGTAACTAAGGGTTAATCCAGCATCAGACCACACTTCATGGTATTGTTTCGTAAAGGTGAAGAAAACCCAAAGTCCAGGGGAGAGATAGGTGTTTACTGGAGTAGTCTAACTCTGTTATTGAATACTTCTGTTGACCTCTTGTAGCAAATATATGATCCTGAGTGAATAAAAGAACTATGAATTGTTTAACCATCAAATAGAATGCTGGTGTTTGAAATACATCTGTCTAGATCCAGACAACTTACCTGATCAACAAAAGAAAAATTAATCATTTTAGTGACAGGGCTAGCTCTGGGTCAAAATTCAGTTTCGCCAAACCAAATTTTTTTTTCTATAAGCGTGCGAACAGATTCCGGAACTCACCCTCACCCGACGAGCCCTTAATTTCCTCATATAATAAAAACACATATGCTAATTATATAATTACATTATTTATTCACTGTTTTAACAACAATACATCAAACATAACACAGTATATGGTAAAAGAGTTTATAAACATGGAATTATTACAGGCCTTCTGCATCTCGACAGTTTGCTGTTGTGTTGCCAAAGCAGCAGAGTGAGAGTTCTCATCTGTAAAATTGAAAATAGAATTTAGAATAGAATTGGACATTTGCAGAGAGATACAGGATTACATTGGACCTTATTTTACACCATCAAAGTATTATACTTATTACAGTAACTTCCTAAGTAATATATCTCTTAAAAACACTTCAGAGATAATAAAGACATATTCGTTAAACTAAAAGATTGTGTTTCTAATTCATGTGCCAAGCAGGCTGTAATGAGTAACTACATTGTACCATCCTCCAGGCTGTATAGTATTTCTGAATTACTTAATCTAAATTTACATAATTTTCTGTTCATAAATGATGAATAGTTGTATATGCTGATCCTTTCTCATGCTTAACCAAGCACTTCTTCTTCATGATACTGCAGCCATCAGAGAAACTATTTCTAACTAATGCCTTAATACATATGTCACAAAACATGAGCTTTTGCTCTGGGTCATATTTTAGCCATGGCCTGCCAATTTTCCAACTATCTAGAAACTTTCTTGAACTACTGCCCCTGTTAGTAACCTGATCAGGACTATCATTTTCCTTTTCAATAGATGGTGTCTTAAAACCAAATGATGACAATCTGGGTACTTTCCCATCCCTATCACTAAAGGGGAGTTTACGTTTTTCCATTTCATCTAACGATCTATCTCAGTGAAGGGCCAAATCTGATGTGACCAAAATATGTACAAAAATATAAAACAAAATCGGCAACATAATGTGAAAACAACGAAATTATATCTTGTGTTTCTTGCTATTTTGATTGTCGATCAAAAAGCCCATTTCGGGCCCTTTCAAATACACTAGTTTACTAAGTTATATCTGCAGAAATCACAAACTCGTGCCCAATTAACGACATCGACACACCTAATGATCCACCTACCGTAAGCCAATTCCCGATAAAACAACATCTTTCCTTCAGCCAACTTACCTTATTGTTCACGGCAGAGGCTATCTCGGATTGAGACAATGGAGACAACATTGGATAATTGGCGATTTTCTTTTCAGGCGTGTTGCTGTTTAGACAGGTAAACGTTTCTGTCAAAACACAAAAGTGTTCCGATAGCTGACCTTGCCCCAGCTGCGTGAGTCAGTCAACCGTGAACGTGTAGTACACAACGATGTCGGAGCAAAATTTACCTGTGTCACTCGTTACAAATAAGTTAAACGCCAGTGACATCGGTGACTGGAAATGTCTGTAATCGGCATTTTCGCCAATAGAAATTTGAAATCGCCAATCTCATTTCACTTTCGCCAATGGCGCCAGCGCGAGCCCTGAGTGACTTAATGGTCAAGTGTTAGGTGTGAAATATTTAGCTTAAAGATGGTATATTTTAAGGTCTTGTTTTATTTATAATTTTCTTTCTTTTCATTATAGGAATCTGTTAAAGAGAATGCAAAGCAGGCCCATGAATACTTCAGTCTCCTTTGCAAGTATGTACATAAACAGTAAATTGTCATGTAAAATAAAAAAATTCTGTGAATACTTCACCCTCTTTGTAATTGATGTGAAGATCTCATCAACTTTTTAGGTCATTACTTGACATCTGACCCAGAAACTTTCCAGTAATTCCATCTTTGTTCTTTTAGGAAATATTTCCATCTTGCGATGATTTTTAAATGTGAATAATAAATTAATAAATCAGTAATTAAGATAACCATGGCAGTAGTGAATTTTTCTTATCAACAATGGAGGGTATTATGGCTATTACTATACAGAAATACTAGATGCTTTTTTCTCTCATTTCATATGAAAAATATAAGGAATCTTTCTCAAGTTTCATATCATAGGTTCCCTTGTTTCCCAAGTTACCACATGTTTCAACTTTTTACTTACTGTATGTTTTGATGAATGATTACACTACAAAAGTAAAGAAAAGCAGAAAAGAGAAAAACAAACATCATATAATGTTGGTTGGGATAATCTCATCATTGATTTATTTTAATCAAATGTGGACCAATCTTGTCAATCATTCAGTAAATAAAAAGTTGAAAGTATTTAACACTACAATGCTCTGGATAATAATTTGAGATACCACTACATGTGTTTTGTACTTTAACAGGCTGTTGAATTATGCATGTGCCAGTGATGTGAGACTCCCTAATGCAGAGAAGCTACTAAGTAATGAGATTGACTGGTTAATTAAGACAAGGGTACGTTTTGTGTGTCCTTGTAATCTTCTTAATAGGAAAATATTATGAGATAGGAAGTATAGATCAATAGACATTATATTGTTTGCATAAGAAAGTTATATGACGCATAATTGATATATTTTCTAAGTTGTGTACAGATACTCTGAATATTTGGTAAACTTTCTCAAGATATGAGAGAAAAAATAATGGATCAAAGATCCTTAAACAAATATTTGATAGGAGTTTTATTGTACTCAGTTGATTTTGTATTAATATAAAACCTTAATGTTACCATCTTGTATCATTTTTTTCTTTTCATCTGTACTTGATGTAACGCAACACAATTTTATTGAATCTTGTATTGTTTTTTATCATTTCTCTAGTTCATACTGAAAGATGTTTCAATAAAAAAAGTTTGAAGTCCTACATAATTTAGAATGTTGTTGTGTGACTTTAGGATGATGTGCTGAACACTGGAGAGGTGGCTGTGGAGGAAGCATTGTTAGGGGGACATCTTGGGATCACACGGGAACTCTTAGCATTCCAGTCGTCAGAGAAAAAATATAACATTGGCTCAGAGAAAGGGGGAGCTAATCTCATCAAGGTAGACAACTTTGTACTAATATCCAAATATGACTGTTACAACAAAACTTTGCTTAAAGAACAGAATATTTTGAAAATCTTTGACTGTAAAATCAGTTGTTAGATCTGCCAGTGATAGTATGAAACCTGAAATTAGATGGTGATCTGCAATTTAAAGAATTATTTGGTGTTCTTGTAATGATTTGAATACTACAGATTACATTATGAATCAACAATAAAAAGATGGTGAGTCAGAAATCACAACATCATTTGGTGCTCCTGTATTAACATAGAAAACATGATTGTTTTATCAGTAAAGAAAAAATCCTTAATTTTTACAGGAGATAGTGGAGGATTTCCTATTCCCAGCATCTAAGATAGTGCTGCAGAGTAGAAAACTCAATGGGGAGTTTCCGTCGGATCAGGCTGTACCAGTCTGTTCCACGTCTTCAACTGTGATAGCTGCGTTTGAACTTTTAGTGGCACTTTGTACAAATTGTCTCCCCAACCTTCGCTGTCTAGCAGGCATGTTAACAGAAATGTTTTACAATGGTAAGTACTGGTGAACATTTAGTGGCACTTTGTACAGTTATTTCCCTTAGCCTTCACTGTGTAGCTAGCATGTTTACATACTAGCATTGGTGAAATTTTATTGGCTATTTATAGAAATTGTCTTTAAAGTGGAGATTTTGGTTCAGTGGTAAATATTAGGCAAACTTCGTAAATAGTTAGCAGAGACATATCTGGTAATGAAAATCTATTGTTTCTTTTCAGGTGAGCAACCCCTGAATGAGTGGGAATACCTACCTCCTGTTGGTCCAAGGCCAATCAAAGGCTTTGTAGGGCTAAAGAATGCTGGTGCTACCTGTTACATGAACTCAGTCTTACAGCAGGCAAGTGTACAGTTATGTTAATAGGCGAAGACTTCTAACACTTCAATTGACTTCAAGCTTCTGAAAGGTTCTAGTTAATATGTGGCATTGATACTGGACCAAACAATGTAAAGTTGGTAAACAAATGTGTTGTTACAAAATGGTTCATGTCATCATTAGACCTATACGGTACTTGTTTAATAGAAGTTCTTTTGTTGTATTATAGCTGTTCATGATAGAGCAGATCAGGACAGGGATTTTAGCAGTGGAAGGGGTAGCGGACGACATCGAAGAGGAGTATGTGGGTGACGAGAAGAGTGAAAGTGAGGTAGGTCATATAACACTGATGTAATGTAAGCCATGTTTGGTTGATGGTTGTATTGTACAGTGATGTGTAACACTATTATAATGTAAGCCATGTTTGGTTGATGGTTGTATTGTACAGTGATGTGTAACACCATTATAATGTAAGCCATGTTTGGTTGATGGTTGTATTGTACAGTGGTATGTAACACCATTATGATGTCAGCCATGTTTGGTTGATGGTTGTATTGTACAGTGGTATGTAACACCATTATGATGTAAGCCATGCTTGGTTGATGGTTGTATTGTACAGTGGTAGGTAACACCATTATAATGTAAGCCATGTTTGGTTGATGGTTGTATTGTACAGTGGTATGTAACACCATTATAATGTAAGCCATGTTTGGTTGATGGTTGTATTGTACAGTGATGTGTAACACCATTATAATGTAAGCCATGTTTGGTTGATGGTTGTATTGTACAGTGATGTGTAACACCATTATAATGTAAGCCATGTTTGGTTGATGGTTGTATTGTACAGTGATGTGTAACACCATTATAATGTAAGCCATGTTTGGTTGATGGTTGTATTGTACAGTGGTATGTAACACCATTATAATGTAAGCCATGTTTGGTTGATGGTTGTATTGTACAGTGGTATATAACACCATTAAAATGTAAGCCATGTTTGGTTGATGGTTGTATTGTACAGTGATGTGTAACACTATTATAATGTAAGCCATGTTTGGTTAATGGTTGTATTGTACAGTCTGCTAATTCATTTACCAAATATTGTCATTTACAGTGTGAAATAACTTGATGTCCATGACTTTTTTAAATAGATTTAGAGAAATCCTTTTTGAAGAATATGATCATGCCCTATCTTCTCGACTAAAATTTGAAATGTAAAATATTGAATATTTTAAAATGTGGTTTCAGACAAATGTGGATATGGGAGATGAAGAGCGAAAGGATGAAGAAAAGTCTGTTAGTAATAAAGAGGAGGCAAGAAAAGAGTACCACCAGGGTGTTCTTAGACAGATCCAGCTAATCTTTGGACATCTCGCCACCAGCAAGCTTCAGTATTATGTCCCCAGGGGCTTCTGGAAACACTTCAGGTAAATCTGTCAGATGTGTCGGGACTTGTTTAAGGAATATCCATGGTCCATTCACGTCTTTTATGAGAAAAAAATTACTGTACAAATTCTTTATTCTGTAATATGTTTGTTTTAATATGATATTCAAGAATAGTTTGTCACACCTTCATAATTTGATATGAATGTGAATATTTCTATTTTTTGTGTGATTGAAGACTTTTATGAAAAAAGGAACGATAATTTGTATATTTTCCTTGTGTTGACATGTATATGTGTTATACTTGTAGGTTATGGGGAGAGCCAGTGAACTTGAGAGAACAGCATGATGCCTTAGAGTTTTTCAACAGCTTAGTAGATAGTTTAGATGAATCTCTCAAGGCACTCGGACAACCCACCATTCTCTCTAAAGTTATGGGAGGTTCATTCGCTGACCAGAAAATATGTAAAGACTGTCCCCATAGGTAAGGTTTGAGAGTATGGATCTCTCTCGCTATGACAGGAATGTGACATCAATTGATGTCACACTTTTGATCTGTTTTGTGACATTGATTATTCTTATGTTAATTAATACAAAACTGTAAAATATAAAGCTTATTTATCTGTTTATTCAACTGAAAATTTTTTATAAAGCTCGCTGTGTAAGACATGTGGGCAATGAAAATTGATATTGTATGGTGGTGCCCATGATTGGTGTTTTTTAAAACATGAACATACTTGTATGCAGTGATTTTTATTGGTGAATTTGTTTTAATGGAGGAGGAGAAGGGTGTCTCCTTACAGTTATAGTATATATTTACCAAAGGAACATCATGATACATATAACAGAGTTTTAGTAATTACCAGAGGGGGATATCAGAGATATTAACCATGTCAAAGTATTAATGTATAATTATTGTTCTATTGACTGTATGTACCAGATAATACATCAAATCTTTAATTTCAAGTTTAACTGTTTATTGATTGTTGTATGGACTGAATTTGCCGGATAAAATGATTACCAGATATACTCTGAACAAGTATACAGATATATCATGTATATTGTTTATTCTGTCGGTTGTAGGTACCAGAGGGAGGAACCGTTTACTACATTAAATGTAGATATAAGGAATCACCAAAACCTGCTGGAGTCACTGGAACAGTACGTCAAGGGGGACTTACTAGAGGGGGCCAACGCATACAAATGTGAAAAGTGTAATAAAAAGGTAAGATCCACAAGTCTGACAAATTAGGATACTTCTCCGATGTGGATTTCATATTCTTGATGGTTTGTGAGGATGAATGGCGCCCAGAATTTGTAACATTTAGTGTTCTTAAAAATTTCTTTTCTACAGAATACTTGTAAGTCAATAATATGTTGTAAGTTCAGGACACAGTTATGTAATCACAGAAGAAAACAATATACTTCGGTCAATTTTATTGGTACAAGTCAATAATTTCATTTCTGATTGAAAATCTTTCGTAATCAACATTTATTGGCATTGCTTTACAGGTTGATACTGTAAAAAGACTTGTGATAAAGAAACTGCCAAAAGTCTTAGCCATTCAGCTGAAGCGGTTTGACTATGACTGGGAAAGGTGAGGAGTGAGCTTATAATGTCACAGGAGAAAAAGAAAAAAATATTGTATAAATAGATGCTTAGACATTACCTAAACTCATGGTCACCACTTACAGACTACAAGTTGATGTCTCGTCATGAGTAATTGTATACTGACTATGGTAATGAGTTTTTAAAAGTCTTGATTTATTTTAACTTTGTGAGAAGGAATTTGAAATGTCTGCAAGCTAATGATGACATACTTTGTTTTTTCAGGGAAAGTGCAATAAAATTCAATGATTACTTTGAATTTCCACGGGAGATAGACATGGAACCTTACACAGTTCAGGGGCTAGCAAAGATTGAAGGCAAGTGTTGTGGTCAAAGATGAAAAGAAAAATAAACTACTGTTTTGAGCTGTTCAATTTTGAAGGTTTTCATGTTCAAATCTTCAAAAGGACTTATAATAAATTTAGTTTAAGCTTTGATTTTATCTTTCAATAAATTTAGTTTAAGCTTTGATTTTATCTGTCAAAATAATATTTTTGATGATTTGAAAGAATATAAGAGCCATTTTAAGAACAATCTTTGTGGTATATTTTCCAATTTTTTTTACTTGATCAACTGAAAAATATGATATATATTGTTTTTTTACAGGTGAAATAATAGATGATGACTTTGATACAAAGCCGCAAAGTACAAAATACAAGTTGTTTGGTGTTGTAGTCCATAGTGGACAGGCTAGTGGTGGTCATTACTACTCCTACATATTACACAGGTAAATCAGTAGTCATTTGTTTACCTCTGAAAGTCATCCTATACTGGGTATAAGAAAAATATCCATACTGCACATTTGGGTGGTTTGAGCATTACTTGACTTTAGTGTGCTTCATATTAGAAAACAGATTGGAACACTTGTATGTCATTATTGTTTCTTGAAAATATATGTATATCTGATATAGGTAAATCTAATCTTTTTCCGAGGATGATAACATTAGTTAAATGAATGAAACAAAAATCATTGTGCTGTTGGTCATGGAATATCAAATTCTGGATTTCAGATTCCAGACACTTTCTATTTAATGTTAAAATGATATTGATACCAAGAAATGGATTTGTAATTTTATCATGATTTTCTGGTGATCATGTTTTTCTTTCTGACATCATCATTGATTGTACAAAATTTTTAATTCATATAGGGGTGAAGACAACCAGGCCAAGTGGTACAAGTTTGACGACGGTGATGTGTCTGAATGCAAGATGGAGGACGATGAGGTATGTAGATGATTTGATGAAGAAGCTCAAAAAAAGAACATTAATTTTTCAAGTTTTGTCAGGCTAAGAAAATTCATGGTAGTACTGCAAAGCATTTGGTGAATTTCATGGACGAGTTTTTTTATTTCAGGAGATAAAGAACCAGTGCTTTGGTGGAGAGTACTTGGGAGAAGTGTTCGATCACATGCTAAAGAGGATGGCATATAGACGACAGAAACGATGGTGGAATGCCTACATCCTATTCTATGAACGTCAGGACGAGACAGAAGATGAAAAGCACATCTACAAGTCACTGCAAGACCTCACTATAGGTACTGTCGGGTTTTGATCAGGATATATTACTTACTCAGTAATTTTTTCCCTTATCTTTGTTAAATATGTGGCATTTAAAAATAAGGAATAACTTGAAACAAAATGTAAGAATTTCACACTTTATTAAAGATAAACATGCTTAAATACTCTTTAACAAATAAATCCTCTCATTTTCTTGGCTCATGAAAAGTTTTTTACGAAACTGTGACATAATTTTTTTTTGCTTTCAGTGAACAAACCATCCCAAGTAAAGATGCCATGTACAATTGAAAAGTGTGTTAGAAAACAGAACATCATGTTTATGCATGAGAAGAGTCAATTTTGTCCTGAGTATTTCCAGTTCATGAAGAAGTTATTGACCTGTAACCCAATGTATCACTGTGCAGACAAAGTGGTAGGTTGTTCCTATGGAAATTATTCACTCGCATACTGCTACATTTGTAATCGACCTATTGAAATCATAACAATATTATGGATTTGAGGATCCAAGCGTGGTGTTTTTCCATGAGAAAGTTTATATGCATAATTGGATATGTGAAATATTACTTGTTCATATGTTATTATTGACAGAGTAATAGGTTTAGTATGAGCAGCAGACTTAAAAAAATATTGGAATTTTGATACAAATGGTGCCAATTAACTTTAAGTGAAGGTAATTTGTCATGTGATGTTTCTTACAAAGAAAAAAATTCCAAATTGATAAATGAATCATATGAGAACAGTAAATTTATATGGTGGTCAATGTTATCCTGATTCACTATATCTCTGGGCTGATTTTCATATTTTCAGAATGCTGATGCTGAAAATGTAGCTATGATCAGTACAGAGCTGGCAGCAAAGTTCTTATTCCATGTAGGGTTCCATACCAAGAAAACCCTGAGGTAGGTACTAGATCACTTCAACCCTTATTCTATGTAGGGTTCCATACCAAGAAAACCCTGAGGTAGGTACTAGATCACTTCAACCCATATTGCAAGTAGGGTTCCATACCAAGAAAACCCTGAGGTAGGTACTAGATCACTTCAACCCATATTCCATGTAGGGTTCCATACCGAGAAAACCCTGAGGTAGGTACTAGATCACTTCAACCCATATTCCATGTAGGGTTCCTCACCAAGAAAACCCTGAGGTAGGTACTAGATCACTTCAACCCATATTCCATGTAGGGTTCCTCACCAAGAAAACCCTTAGGTAGGTACTAGATCACTTCAACCCATATTCCATGTAGGGTTCCATACCAAGAAAACCCTGAGGTAGGTACTAGATCAGTTCAACCCATATTCCATGTAGGTTTCCATACCAAGAAAACCCCAAGGTAGGTACTAGATCACTTCAACCCATATTCCATGTAGGGTTCCATACCAAGAAAACCCTAAGGTAGGTACTAGATCACTTCAACCTATTTTTCATTTAAGGTTCTATACCAGGAAAACTCTGAGATGGTCCAGTCATTCTGATATTAGTATTGACAATAGGTATTGGATTGACTGCTTGATAAATTATTCAAGAACAGTGTATTATGTAGATACTCTTGGCATTCAGTCTAAGCCACAAAATCTGGTTGTGTTAAAAATCTCAAGATTTATTCTAAAAACGCTCGCATCCAAGGGTCATGATATTGCTAAAGAAAAAGATCAAATAAATATTATTAACCTTTATCCAGAGTTACAGGGTTCAAATACAACCACTTGGTACAATTTTTTCACAATCATGAAGGCCTAGAATTATGATGTTTGCTTAATAGATTACCATAAAAGATTCCAAATAAATAGGTTTGATCTTCAGTCAATGTCACAGGAGTTGAGCACGGCTCCTTGTCTTCCAGAAAAAACAGCTATAAAAGTCACCTTCACAGCATTTAGGGTTTTAGGGACTTCGTCACTTTAAGGTATTAGTGTTACTAGTATTATTAGTACATATGCTCCGCAGATCATTGAATAACAATAATCAATCATTATTGTTGTGCACTGTATTATTGTAGGGGTCCAGCTAACGAGTGGTATGAAGCATTAAGTTGTCACCTACGACCAAGCAAAAAAGTACGCACCTGGTTTGCACAAAATGTTCTCTTCGCCCATCCTAACAGATTTGCAGAGTACCTGCTAGAGTGTCCAACATCAGAAGTAAGTTAAACATCTTTTCTGATTAATTATAAATGAAAAATGATACTTCAACACAATTTGAAATAAAATATAACACATTGTGATCCATTCCTGCATAATGCAGTCACAGTGAAAAATAACAAGATGTTTGCCTACAATGAAGCCAATATTTATCAAACTAGAAATGCATCAGAAAATGGCACTTCTTGAATAGATTGCCCAAAATTTTAATTTCAGGTTAGAACAGCATTCTGTAAAACGGTTGTGTGTTTGTCTCACTTTGCCCTTCGGGACGGACCATGCCCACCCCCACTGGTGCAGGGACTGTACGGTATGTGTAAGTCATAAGTCTTGTTATTGAATTGGAATTACCTTGTATTGTTGCTTGTAATTTTCCCATATACTGTACTTCAGTGATTTCAGGAACCATTACTTATGGTGGTTCTACAGATTTGCCACACCATCATCAGCATATTTGTAAAATTGCCAGAGCATGCTACATGGTAATATGTCTGAAAACTAGTTCTCTGAGAGAATGATATCAATAAAGATATCTTGACAAGAAATTTTACCCCCTGTATAAATCTTCTCTATGTAGCTGGACACCCAGCAGATCCTAATGCAACCTTGAGTGACCACTTGTTACTAGCTGTGCTACATTTACTGAAGAAGGAAGTGTCTGAACACGGACGACACCTACAACAGTATTTCCACCTGTTTTTGATGTACGCCAACCTTGGTCAGGATGAGGTATGTTGTATGGACATCACAGCAGTCACTCGGTGTTAATAAAGTTCGGCTAAATATCAATAATTACATGATAATAAGTGCAAGTCTACTTTCAGCATTATTGTACTTAGGTCAAATTGACAAATTTGCAAGATATCATGTTGGAAAGAACCAAATTGAGGAACTGTTTGATTTGTGTGTTACATAGAAAATGCAGCTGTTGAAATTGAATGTGCCATCAATGTTCATGCTGGTGGCGTTGGATGAGGGTCCAGGGCCTCCTATCAAGTACCAGTATGCCGAGCTGAGTCGACTCTACTCTGTTGTGTCAATCCTAATCCGATGCTGTGATGTCTCCACTCGTTGTCTTTCATCAAATGTAAGTTATAACAATCTTTTCCATTTAGTTCCATGTCAAGCATAAAACAACAGGTTTACTTGACATTAACAAAAGTAACACCGACGAGTAGGTCAAAGATATAATGATAACATATTAAACAAGGTTAATCCAGAATTTCAGCCAAAAATATACAACAATGTGTCTTAATGAGTGCCTTTTAAACATTAATCCCTTATGATATTATCATATATACTTTTGTTTGTAATGCTCTGCTATTTGTTGAAATCAGATGGCAATCAATATCTGCTTTTGATCAGAATCCAATGTTTCAATCAACGATCAAAATACTTGGTTGATTGTTAATGCACTTGTTCTGTTATTGCCATTAAACATTAAAATTCTTATTAAGATATTCACGAAACCAATAGGGACAATATTGGAGAGCCTCACTTAAGTCCTGCAGGAAATTAAAAAAAGGGAAGAGGGCAATTCTGAAGGCAATTTTATTTCAGGCAGAGTCTACATGTTATTTCCTGAGTCATGAACACACTTTCTTATAAAAGCCAATAATACGAAAAAGTTTTAAACTTCTTGTTTTCTTACAGGTGGGATTCATGTCATTCTTACTCATCTAGTTTTACTTTTTTTTTAAATGATAATTTTCATGTTTTGGTTTTGCTAAAGTTGGTTTGTTAATATTTGAAAATATTTCATTTATTTTGATTGTTAATTTTTTTTTTTTTTTTCTTTGTCAGGGTGAACCAGCCAAACCCAATCCCCACGGTGATAATTCTGTACAGAACTCTCTGATGTCTATACAGTCACAGGTGTCAGACATTTTGTATGGTCGCACCAGCTATGTCAAAAAGTTGATTGAAGACTGCAACAATACAGAGGATACCACCAAACTTCTGAGGGTAGGTGACACACCTTCCTGACCCTTCAAAGAAGTAAAACCCAAAACAAGCAAAAATAATCGAGTATAACAGAAATTAAAACAGAAAATTAATTTTCAATAACCCAACATTATCTCAATCCCCTGGCATATTTTCCTCAATGGATGTCAATTAAAATTAAATGAAGTAAATAACAATGACAAATTTGTACATAGATGTTCTTATAATGCAGAGATTTTATAAAAATGTTATTCCTTGGTTTAATAGTTCTGTTGCTGGGAAAATCCACATTTTTCATCAACAGTGCTTAGTGAACTCCTATGGCAGGTAAGAAGACACTGTTTTATGTATATGTTCAAATGTAAAAAAAACTTTCTGTCAAAAGTACTACCAGTGTCAGACTTAAATGTGATGTAAACTTTACAAGCTATGCAGAAATTATTTAAGGGAAAATTTTTGCTTTGCATGGGTTCAACATGGTTGATGCTTCCTCTCAGTAATAGTATGAAATTTGAAATTTGATTTCCATATTGGATGGAGTTGTGCTGTTTTTGTATTTCAATGATTTTCAAATTGAGGTTTGTATTCTGGATAAAAAATGAAGTAAATATTTCTCACCAGGTTGCATATTCCTACACATATGAGCTGCGGCCATACCTGGATCTTCTCCTCCAGATGTTACTTCTGGAAGATTCTTGGCAAAACCATCGTATACACAATGCCCTTAAAGGTATACCAGATGACCGTGACGGCCTGTTTGACACTATACAGAGGTCAAAGAATCACTACCAGAAACGAGCCTACCAATGCATCAAGATGATGGTTTCACTGTTTACATTGTAAGTCACTGATTTTGATGAAGATATATCTCGAAATTTTGTTTGCATACAAATGATGTATTAGGTTTGCAAACTAATGGTATATTAGGTTTGCATACTAATGTTGTATTCGATAATGTCTATGCTCCAGCTAATTAAGATCTTGATTGTTCATGTTGAAGTCAGATTTTATTCAATTACCTTTAATTGACTGTAAATGTTCTTCTGAATTGAAAATATCTTTATTAGACATTGAAGTAAAAGAGATTGCAAGTCATTAGTTTAGAACTTAAACAAAAGAATTATAAGGAGTCATGTATAAATATTATTTGTTGTTAATTAAGCATTCACAAATGTTGTCCAACTGCCCAAAACTCTTTAAATTTTGACAGATGCCGTCCTGCTGCGGAGATGTTACAAACCAATGGGGATCTCAAACGCAAGTGGACCTGGGCAGTGGAATGGTTGAATGATGAACTAGAAAGGGTATGTTATACATAATTAGATATGAAGTTGTAGTTAAAGTTTGGAATATAAGTGATATGAAACATCAGCAAACCATAAACAAAGTGACATTAGCCCCCAGAGGTTTGTCTATTTGATCCCATAACTGCCAAACTGATACTTAATTCAAATATTAATTTTATTCTGAACATGAAAGGATGTAAAATTTAATGTAGGTAAAAGCAGGACTTTTCTTGGTAACCGAAATAATGGATGGCATTTGGAATTGAGGTTTATACTTCAAAAATCTGGCTTTTGTTGTAGATTTACAACAGAAAAGAGATTTGGAACTACATTTTAAATTTTCGCCACAATTTTCCTTTAGCTCCATTCCTGCCGAAGCAGGAGCAGGGATGAACATGTTTCAAAAATATCCTCTAGCTTTCTGGGAGATTCTGCAAATTCATTTTGTGTACAGATATTTTCAGTACAGGTGTACAGTTTGAATACTATTTAGTCACATGCATGCAGTTACAAAATAGTAATTTTGTGTTTGTTGTTTTTACAGAGGCCATATCCAGGGAATACGCAATATACCTATAACAATTGGTCACCACCTGCTCAGTCCAATGAAACATCCAATGGGTGAGTGAAAATTGAGAAACATAAATGTTCTGTCAAAGTCTTTCTTGTGGTCAAATTTTGAGGCACTTAATTCCATTACTGGTATTGTCTGCAGCTGACTACCAAAATGATATGGTTGACAGGTAGGCTGTCAGCAGATCACATTATGTCGTGAGGAGTGACAGTGTTGAAGTCATATGATCAGGAAGATAGGGATCAGTGATAAGGAAGAAAAGAATTGGGTACTTCACAGTAAAATGTTTGAAGGAATTATTGCTAATCACTCAAACCTGTTTTGTTTCCAGATATTTCTTAGAAAGGTCACACAGTGCCAGAGAAACATTATCAAAGGCCTTTGAACTTTGTCCAGAGGAGGTGAGAACTCAATATTTCTTACATTTCCAGATTAATTTCTGACAGATTACATTTTTAATCATTTTGTAGGAGATCTGTCAGTATGAAAAAAATTATTGTGAGTTGATTTAATCAAATACATTAAACAACTTAATATTTAATGCTGTAGGTGATAATTGTTACATGCTTTCTTCATATGTAATCTATGTTCTTGTATGTTTTTCATCACAATAATATTTAATTGAAGTACTAGTTTGTTGATTTTTTTTCCATTCTGTTTCGTTATGTTTAAACATTAAAAACATTTATACTGATACTTGGTTTTGTATTATAAGGAAACTCCTAAGATTTTGTCCCCATTGTTATTGGATTTAAGTTAAAATAAAGATTATGTATGATTATAACTGCAGGAACCTGAGGATGGTTACTTGACAGATGAACAGGAAGCCCCTGCATCAGAAGATGCCGTACCACCCACCTATCCTCCAGGACAGACCTCCTCAGCTCCCGCAACCACTAGTCCCCCAACAAGTGCATCACAGTCACAGCCCCCATCTCAACCAGCCTCTCAGCCTGCCTCTCAGCCCCCAACTCAAACACCAGCCTCTCAGCCTCCCTCTCAGACACAGGTACAAAATAATCAGGTGAATGTGAGCCACGTGTCGCCACAACCAATCCACCCTAGTAACCAGATCAACAACCAGCTCAACCAACAGACCTCACCAACAGCACCTTCCCCTGCCCCCACCACCAGCCCAGGGGGTCAGTCTGACAATCCAGACACTGGGGAGGAAGAGTTGGACAATGGTAATAAAAAACCAACACCTGAGTGAACAACAATGTGACCGTAATTATAGAAAACAACACAATGCACAAGTACAGATAGGAGAAGTGCTACAGGTTTGAGTCTGTGAGAATTCCCTTTGTTAGAAAGTGTTGAACAATGTCTTCAATCTCCCAGTCCAGGGGATCATTGATACACTAAAATGTGCACAAGTCTGTTTAGTTTGTTTCATTCCTATAAGGAAATTGTTATTGTGAAAAAATGTTAACTATACTCATCAACTTGGTATGTTCATCAAACTGGACAAAATATTTTGTTGAAGATACAAAATGGTAAGATATTAGCAGAAGTGTCCGCATATTTTTCTATTCTTAGTGCATAGAATCCAGGCTACATCCAACCAGAGCAAAGTTTAATCTGTTATTGCTTTGAAAATAAGACAATTCATCATGGCACCAGGAGCCATGTGTTTGTTTAAGTCTTGTTGGTGACCATTGAATGCCGGATTTGAAAGACCAGACCTTATGTGCACATTATGTGCACTTCACTGTATGCCTGCATTTTTTCTAACCAAGCAGCATAGCTATATGTGTGTCTGCAGGTCTCGGCGAACAGTTCCTACATGCACATCTTCAAGTCTTCGAGGGAAGGAATAAAGTTACCTGTGATTCACATTAGAGAATGAATGGTTATTTTGAAATGACACCATTTTATATTGGTGTTTGTTATGGCTGTGTGTGATGCATGTGATCAAAGGATGAAATCAGGGTTGTAGAGGTCTCCTGGTCATGTGACCCAAACTGATGTGACCGTTGTAAAGACGTAATATATATTTAGGAGGGGGAGTTATACAGAAAATTTTAGAAAATTGGTTTTGAGATAATTAATCTTCATCTTGCCATTTAACATTTGGTAAATTGCAAATTCTCATGAGGTTGTCCTTAATTCAGAAATTGAAATCTGTACATTAAATGTTAGTATTAGCTATGTAAACAGTTCATAGGAATAAACAACTGTCCTAATAAGAACTAACTGCAGCTGTTTTTAATGACTGACAACTTAATGTAAGTCAAAACGCATTGTTTAGGATTCTGATTCATAAAAGTGACAACCATTTTTTAACCAATTTCATTTATGAATATAAGCTAGTCTGAGAATATGTGTTCTCTGTTAGATAGGGACAAGAGAAATTTGTATATTCTCTGTTAGATAGGGACAAGAGAAATTTGTATAACATTTACATGAATGCCATGATTGAAAGTTCTTGTTACCAATCACTGTTGATGGTTGTAAAAACCTTTAACAAGTTCATGATGGACCAGAGCAAATGTGTAGATGATAATAAGGATTGTAAGCAGTCTTAAATGTGGATGATAAACAGGTGTAACAGTACACTTATTTAAAGACTGCAGGTTTAAAATAAAATGTGTTCGTATTTATTTTGCACAATGTTTATGTAATTAGTTCCAAATATTATGGGGTCTGTTCTAAGTTTCATAAGCTTAAGACATCAATCAAAACATTGTTCTGTTGCCTTGATGATGATCATTTTAAATCCAGATGTACATATTTTTTTGTTGAATTTCTGTTTTTATTTAACAACTGGAGATGCAGTTTTGGTAAAATTACAAGATTTGGCGTTATAGGTAAATATTGCTTGAGAAACTATATACTATGGTAAGTTTACTTTATATAATCAAGAGGGTAATGTTCTATATTTAAATTTTTGGTTAAAGACAACATCACACAGAAGCAATTATCAGAAACAGATCAAAATCCTACATTGGTGTTGTTAGTTGCAGATAGACATGGCAGTAGAAGGTAATATTTTTCTCATTTACAGGTGACTAGAGGAAATTTAAATGCCTTATTGTAGTTGAATTATAATAATACGACAGAGATAATAAACACGGTTGTATATCCATATTGGTACAATATGTACAATAGTATTCTAGATTTAATTCGACAGTAAAAGTTTGTTGATGTGACACACTAGTTCTTGTAGACTCATGCGACTGTAAATCATACTGGTAAGTACAAGTCAAACTAGCATACCCAGTAAAGTGAGGCAATCAGGGAAGAAGGTGTTTGTCTGCAAACATTGATTGGACTACCTGGTCAATTTAAAAAATCAACTTACATTATCAGTATACCATACAGTTCTGTATTTACCTTTTTGATTGCCATATATATCAGAAATAAGGGCCCTGATTGCTCTGAACACTTTAGCCAAGTCACTATGTTATGTGTTTACACATGAACACTTAAGTACAGCCACAATAATCTCTGTTGACTAAGTTGAGGCAATCCATTGATCATTTAGGATAAGCACCTGTTTTTTCTGGATTAGCACCTGGTCACTTAGGATTGGCACCTGTATTTTCTGGATTAGCACCTGGTCACTTAGGATTAGCACCTGTTCTTTTTGGATCAGCATCTGGTCATTTAGGATAAGTACCTGGTCACTTAGGATTGGTACCTGTGGATGTTATTATCTTTGAGATAACAATTCACACAGTATTTCCTCAGTCAGAGCAGAATAGATCAGTTTTAGCTTATATAACCATACAACTTGTGCCTTCTGAAAAAAAAAATGACCAAGACATCTGGTTATCTAGAGAACAGCATGGAACTAAGGTCAACATGTAATTGATGATGAAGTTGTTAAAAATTTAAAGTGTCATTTGCAATGCCCTGGTGTATTATGGTGCCTTCTTACCATCCATACATAACAAGGCTGGTTTTGATTTTGCTAGATGAACATTACTTCATTTTTGCTGTTCAATTTCACCTTAAAAAGGAGCTTGTCCAGAGTAAAATGTAATGTGGTATGCTTAAGCTTGTGATACTGTGAACAGGGAAGCCCAATATCAGCAAAAATGCAGTTTATTTTATAGTAACACTAAATTCCCAAGATAAATAATGTCTACACACAAGAAGAAAAATCATCCATATAGAGTTGTCAGACTTTACACTTTTAATAGGTTCTGATGTTTTAAACTGATGAAGTATAAATCTTGCAGTGCATCACGTTCTTGACAGTGCAGATTGAATATATCACTTTTTCTCCTGAATATTGCTGGGGTTCCATGTACTATAGGTCAAGTTATGTGTTAACCTTTATAGCAATGTGTTCTGGTATGATCAGCATGATACATTTTTGTTGTTTTGTTTTTTTTGGTACAGGAACAAGTAAATGATAGCTTGATTGGTATTTTATGCAGTGGTTACTCTTGGATTTTTTGGTAAAATATTTTCCTACAAAAAATGGCGATAAACTGATCTGTTGATAGATTGAAATGTTTTTATAAGAAAATTTGCACCGTAATTAAAAAAGAGCTGTTTTATTAAACTTTCAAAGATTGATGTTCTTTTCTATCTTGTTAAATAATATTATTATAAATGATTATACAGTACTGCAAATGTCTCTTGAAAAGGATTCATTGCAAAAATGACATGTATCAACTTGTGATGTAATTTTGATTGAGATATATTTATGCTACACACGTGTGTAATAAATGTGTGATGTTCACATATAAGACGATGTAGATGTGTACAGAATACACTTAAGTATTTTTACTGTTCACGGCACTGTGTATCTATGTATCATGTTGATGTCGTGCGAGTACATACTTTGTGTTACATTGGTGTGCATGTACATATTGTTGTTGAGATGTTGAGTAACTATTAATGCTATATATGTGAGTGTGCATGTGTGAGTGTATAATTACTGTATCCTGTCGATGTCGACCAGCTGATAGTGCTAACACATTGTAAGGTGTGGTCACACGAGAGACATGTGCTTTCATCATTGTTAATGTACATATAGAGTAACCTTAAGTTGCCTTGCATAGTATGCACAGTGGCACAACGCGGTTCAGACTTGTGATATCCTGTTATATAATACACAGCAACTGTATAATAGGTAGTTTTATTTTAAATACACATGTATATATTTAAACCTGTTCTAAATCTTAACTTCATCCACAATGTACTCTTCTTAGTATACAGATACTAAAAATACACTATGAATTATTATGTAATTGATCGGGAGATACATTGTAAGGATACCACTTTGAAAAACTTTTTTTGTAGAGACTGGAATTGGAAACATGATCTTTGAAATATCAAGGCACTATTTATGATTTCATAAATTATGTATTATTCCTACTTGTGTATTTGAATTTGTAAACTTTCACTGTCTACAATCTCAAATGGTCTTATCTATTTTGGAATATTTTAGTGGATTGTTCAGTTATTATACCAGTCACATGAAGGAAAAGGATTCCAAGGAATATATAATTGAAAAATATTAAAAATACATGGTAGATTAATCACAAGCTTTGAATCAAATGCAGAAATTCCAGAAAGTTCAATCCAAAAACATTAATATGGAATACTTTGGTACTTTTCACAATTTTCTTAATAGGGTTATACATTTGGTATGAAATTTTCAATTTTCCAATTTAAGGTCCAGTATCCCACTTCCTACTTCCCGGCCTTTCATTGGTCCTTAAATGCCTCGCACCCCCATGTAACTTCCTGATTTCTTAAAAAGGATTCCCTATGGAGCTTTTGCAGTATCTCACTTTGAAAGGACTTTTTACACTAGCTGATTCAACTGATTCAGATCTGAAATGGAGTGAATAAGTTTTATTCAGCAGAAACCTGTTCAGTTTCACAACATAGAATAGATTTTTTTTTTTTGCAAATTATGTTTACTTTGGAATTCAGACATATCATTTTTTATTTATTTTTTTTTTTTTGTTTAAACGGGCACAAAATTTACCCTTATGTTAGCAAATCTATGATGTTGCAAGGAAAAAGTTCAAACAAGATTTAAAGGTAATTTTTTGTGTAAATATGATTGCTATGTAGCTTGATTGGCAAGAACATAGAGCCTGTGTACTGAGTGGATCTGGCAAGGCTTATCTGTAAATATAGAATCAGTTTGGAAGAGGACCAAATTCTTTAAAGCTCTTTCTGTACGTGTGTTGTTGGTGCTTTTCTTATAATTGATAGTGGAAAAAAGACCTTTGTATTAAAACTACTGATTCATCAGTAAATCTGCCAGTAACATCAGTCTTTTCATCAGAAGTTGTAAACTTAACCAAATTATTTGTCTATGTTGCTTAAAACATGTTGGCAAGAAAATATATCCCAGCAATGATAACTTGGTATTGATAAGAAACTAAAATACTTTCAGAGAAAAGGTATCTCAAAGAAAAGGGGATGACCATGTTGAAACAGGATACTTAGAAAAATAGCATTGTTGATCTTGGAGAAAGTGCATTTTAGAGCAGAAATATGACAAATATGTTGAAGTGTTGCCTAGAAATTTTGCCAAGTAAAGTTAATTATTGATTGTCTTGATAATTTGCTTTCCCAGAAATAACTGGTAGAACAAATTGGATTTGTGTCTTGATAACGTGTTGATTTTAGAAGTTATATTTAAGAAGCATGGCAATCTATTTATAGGGAACAGTCTACTAATATCACATGGTAATTGTTACAGTTTAATGTAAAGGTATTAAAATGTCGTCACCAAGATCTTAATCAAATTGTGAATCTTATAGAGGATTTCACAATGACACTCATGCTCCTTTAGAAATGTGGGGTTAAGATTTTTTTCTGTGAACCAAATACAATTCTGATTGAGATATTCTCATGTTAACATTGTTTTCTTCTGCCACAATTACTTGTACATGGTTTTTGTCCATGCAACATTACACAGACTCATTGGAAGTATCGTCATAATTTTATGTCCTGGCGTTGAATGTACATTTGTGGTTTGTCCACAGCCATAGTTTTATTCTCGATAGTTAAAAATGATAATGTATTTTGTTATTTTTGTTTTTTAAGAGAAGTTGAAACAGATAATAAGTTGATGTGTGATAACGTTCCTTTTTCCGTAGGAAATATTTTAATGACTAAAAGTAGCTTAAGTTATTTTCATGCTTTATCATATGAAATTGAGTCATTACTGCTGTTTCAACTTGGAAATAATTCATTAAAGTGAGTTGTCACAAAAATGTCCGACTTCAGTTATTTTTATGCCCTTGCAAGAAAATTGCTAACTTTTTAAAAGAAGCTGATATTGAAGTGAAGTTCGGTATGTAGTTGTGTAGTGAGAAGATGCGGATCAAGCTTTTATTTGGTTCCAGTCGATCAAAGTTTCAGAAAAATGGCCCGAAGAAAGCAGCAGTTTCCACTCATTTTCTTACGGTCCAGTGGAGATATTGAACTGAAGTTTGACATGTGTATGTGTTGAGAAGTTTTTAGATCAGGATGAGCCATTGTGTTTTGCCATTGTTTTGTGCTGTGCAAAAACTTTCCATTCAAATAACTTCTGCTCAATAACCAAAAGACCCAAGGTGCTGATATTGGGCCTATAACATGAAGGGATGAAGGGCTACCAGGTTTGTCAAAATATGTGACTTTGACTTACTTTCAGAGGAACCGTATATTTTTTAAAAAATATTTAAACAACTTCTCAATAACCAGAAGGCCTAGGATACTGAAATTGCGCCTGTTGCATGCAGTGATGCAGGGCTACCAGGTTTGTTCATATTATTGACCTTGACCTATTTTTAAGGTCAAAGCTTTTTAATAAGTCAAAATCTTTAAACAACATCTTAATAACCAAAACACGTCTGGTACTTTTATTGGGCCTGTAGCATACTAGGATGTAGGGCTACCAAGTTTGTTAATATGAATTACCTTGACCCACTTTCAAAGTCACAGGATTAAAATATGTGCAAATATTTAAACAACTTCTCCATTACTAAAAGATCCATGGTGCTGATATTGGGCCTGTAGCTTGCTTTTCAACAATCAATATGTCCAGAGTAATGGCAATTATGTAGAGCATGTATGAAGAATATGATTTCAAGTTTGCAGAAAATGTCTTTATGAACCAACAATATCTTCTATGTAAGCTGTAGAATAGTTGAACAATTTGTTTTAGGCCTATTTAGCCTCATTCATTAACATTAACAAATTCATTTGAAACTTGGTAAGCTTGAAAACCATAACAATGATACAGTGTTCTCGCAAATAGCATTTTGTTTTCATTCAACAATATTTCAAACGGATATTGCCCTTTATTCTTTTAAGCATTTTAATCTTGTCCTGAGATTTCTCCCAGTTTTCATTCAATATCTTTAAAACTTGGTAAACTTTATTTATCATTAAAACATATAGCACTGTTTTTCCTCTAGACTTTTTGACTTGTCATTTCCATACTTGTATTGTTTGATGCAGCAGATCCTCTATATTTCTATGGCATGGGACATGCGTATATTGTTCCACCTACAGTACACTTTGTTTCAGGGAGAGAAATATTTCATTTCCATATTTTATGTATACGTGTTCAATGACTAATAATACAGCAAGAAGTGGTTAATGAGCCCAAACGATTATCTGACCATGAATTATTTCAGAAATTATTGCGAGACAGACTTCATAGAAATCCTCTCAGGTATTTGGAAAGAGTAGTTTCAGAGCAAATTCTAGCAAAATTCCCCATTCTGTCAGTAAGGACTGAATGGACTCTCTGAATTAAAGAAATGATTGTCCTTCTCATGCAGTGATGTAAAATGAAATTGACTGAAATCTAAATCTAATTTTAAAAAGTCAGGGTCTGCACATGTGGGGGCGACAACATGATGGCTTTTGGTCATCTTGACCCTTCAGGTCAGATGGCTGCTATAAATAAAGCAATAATTACAAAAAACGATTTTTTTTTTCATTTTAATCATTTTCAAAAACTGAAATAATACCCAGTACAATTATACCACTAACAAAATTGTCTTCCTTTATCTTTGCCCAAATGTACAAAAACCACAAGCATCCCAATGGTAACATGTACATTGTATGTATTAATAATAAACATCTATAAGTGAAGGATATGATTAATGAAACATCTCAAGTTTTCCAATAAAAGCAAACTGACTAAATTTATTGTAGAGTACAAGAAAAGTTACATATACTATAGGTTTGATAAATAGACCAAATGAGTACACAGGGATGTGTAAGCATTACTGTTTTGTAAGAAGTTTTTTACTTGTGTCTACAAAACCTCTATTGGTCCTAATATGATTTTAAAACATGTTTTAAAAAGTTATCTGTTATCAATATAAGAATCACATTTCTTTATCAGAAAATCTCTTCTCACGATAAAGATTTTACCACACTCACAATTTCATCTTCCTCTCTTGGTTTTTTTATATTAAACAATTTTTTTTCTATTATCATGATTGTACATCTCACATCTGAGCTCTCTTACAATTACACAATCATTCAGTGGAATCTGTAAGGATCACAAAATACCTAACTACCCTTCACTTATGGGATTTCAGAATCCTGAAATTTGGTTTAAATGGAATTCATAATTTGTCACTTTTGAAGTGAAAGTATATAAAGAAATCTTAAGTACATATCAACTCCTATAAATAACACTGAATTCAGAGTTTTCACTCAAGTTTGACACTTTTTTTAAAAAAGTGCCACAACAGACACTCAATTACTGGTATCTAGTTTTGCTTTAATTAAATATCCACAGCTTAATTGATTTCAATGACTTTCTTACAAATAAAATTCAGATTCTGCAGTAAAAACATAATATATTTCCTAGCACTTTGGGTATACCTCACAGTGAATAAACACCCTATCATTTTAATGTATCCTTTACGTTTGTCACAATAGTAGTGCTACGGCATCAATGTTTGCTGATATAAACTATTGAATTTGTACAAAAAAATTGTTACCGTTTATTCTCCTAGTTAACCAATGATGTAAAATCAAACTTGTCTATAATAATTAATACTGTTCTTATTACTATCAAACTTAGAAAAAAAAAACCATTATACTCAGAATTCTAACCAAACACTAATTAAATCATATTCAATGAACACACAAAAAACATCTGGATAGCACCTGCAACACTGATAAACCAATATTGAAAAGTAGTTTTGCTCTGATGATTCTTGATTATGAGAAACACATCCTCAATTATGAGAAATTTTGTCCTCAATTATGAGATACACATCCTCAGTTATGAGATACAAGTCTTCAATTATGAGATATTGTCCTCTATTATGATTTAACGTCTTCAATTACATGATAATGTCCTTCATCACAAGATAACTGTCCTTTGTTAAGAGATAAATGGCCTACATTACAAGATAAGTGACTTTGATTATAATACAAAAATAACAAGTACCTAAATTTAGACCAAAGAACATAAATATGATGACCGAACAATAATAGCAAATCATCACAGGGATTTTACCATACCAAATCATTGAGGGCATTTTACCATACCAAATCATTGTGGGCATTTTACCATACCAAATCATTGTGGGGATTTTACCATACCAAATCATTGTGGGGATTTTACCATACCAAATCATTGAGGGCATTTTACCATACCAAATCATTGAGGGCATTTTACCATACCAAATCATTGTGGGGATTTTACCCTACCAAATCATTGAGGGCATTTTACCATACCAAATCATTGAGGGCATTTTACTATGCCAAATCATTGTGGGAATTTTACCATACCATATCATTGAGGGGATTTTACCATACCAAATCACCCAGGGGATTTTACCATACCAAACCACCCAGGGGATTTTACCATACCAAATCACCCAGGGGATTTACAATAATAAATCATCCAGGGGATGCTATAACAGTAAATCATCCAGGTGATTTTACCGTACCAAATCATTGAGGGGATTTTACTATGACAAGTCACTGAGGGATTTTCTCACATGATAGCAAATGATCATGGGTATCTTTTATATGCTAAAACAAAGTTCATGGCAGACAATCAGTATTCCTATTGCACAGATTTATTTCCATATTAAAAACTTTTGATCAAACAATATTGTTACATAACCTGTTAAAATCTTAGCAAGTCTGTGAACTACATGGATACATTAGTAATGTAGAATATTAATAAACTAATGAAAGCAGTAATACATTCCCAGCAGAATATCACACAACAAAAACATAATTAGCAAAAGATGTAAAATTAAAGTTCCATATAGTAAACAACATGGTATGATATGACAGTACAGGGCTTCTAGATAACCACCGAAATCATACACATGTACCACAATAAACAAAACATGATATAACAGGAGATTTTGACAATAAATAAGGTCCTCAACATGACATTAACAGGTTTTGGTAGTCTTTTCATGAATATTGTCAAAAAAGTTCAAAAAAAAATATAAGATCTATCAGGTTAACAGAAACTTCAATATTTCAATATTTTTTCTTCACAAGAAGAGGTGTTCTTCATATGGCAATAACAAGTGTGTTGTGACAATAACAGGAGTGCTGTATGTGATAATAACAGGGGTACTGTATGTGACAATAACAGGGTCTACACATGATATCAACACAAGGTTTGTCATGATACCTGTTTTCAAAATGAATAATGACAGCTGGATGTACTGTGAATTATTCCTTACTATTCGAAATGAAAAATTTAGCTTATGAAATAATAACTTAAACAATGGCATCATAATTTACAGAAATGGTGATGATGAGTAAAAGTTGGAATGATTCATGTCTGGTGCAGAGCTAGAACAGGCTGGACCATCTCCTGTGTGAGTTCAGCTGGGAATGAGGTCAACATCTGTACAATACTACATGTCAAATTTATCAACCTGGGGAAGAAAAAAAAATCAAAATCTTGTTTATTAAACAATGCAGCACAATAGATTGTTTATCTTAAATACAATCATATTTCTTAATGTACAGCACAGTTGAGTTTGGGCTGTAATACATAACATTTTAGAAGATAAGGCCAATTTTTTAAAAATAACATTTTTTTAAGTTTTATCACACTAGTGAGTTCTTTTATCAATACAATTTGATTTGGTATTAGCTGTAATGACACTCGGGCTTTTTTCCGATATAACTTCTGGTTTTTATATTATTTGGTTTCCACTGTGATACAAAACATTATATCTGTTGTTTGGTTTTTAACATGCAAGTTTGAATTAACATACAATATTATGTACTTTATGACACGGTCTTAAAAGTTTTGTAATTTTCACTAAAAATTAGAAAACTGAAGCAATACACAAATCAAACTTCAATAATTTTAGCATTTTGCCTTCAAGTATGATAAAACAAATTTTCACTAAATGCTACAAAAGCATTTAAATTTCTTTTCCTATTTAATTACACAATACCAACCATTGTTTGTGTTCGTTACTCAGCTGTCTGCCACTCTCCCCATCGTCAGCTAGGGATGCTTTCACTACCTTGAAATTATCCTCTATGCTTTTCTTAAAAGTCTCCATACAGGCTGCATCTAATGAGGTCACTGATTGCTAGTAAAACGAATGAAGTTCCAATTTTCTTTATAATAACAAATTATCCTATGTTCATTTTATTGAAATACTGTAGTCTTCACAACCTTTCAACATTTAAGCATCATAACAGTGTAGAAGTTGAGAGTACAGGCCACCTTACTAACATCGAATGGTGGGAATTTTCTTTTAATTGAATGGTAGTCTCCAGCTAAAGACTGAAGGGTTACTAGTTTGAACCCAAGCAGTTGCATGGTCCTTTCCATTACTTCTTCCTATTGCACCAGTATACAACTGACAAGAGACTTTTAAGTGTTTACCTCTATACAAAACATCTATCACAACCATAATGTGTTAGTGAAAATGGTCACAGCCCTGGTAAAATCATTTAATGAGCTAACTCAAATTATAATAAGTAACATTACAATATCAGCAAATATGGAAGTGACTAATAAAATTCTGATAGGATTCCAAAGAAAGGTAATATGTACATAAATATTGATATTCAGCCAACTTTATCACCACATAAACATTTAATCAAAATAGCCATATTGATTACAGACAGGAGGTGTGATGTTGCAGTCAGTAGCCAGTTTCACAAACAAACTGAAACATTCATATCTTTACTTTTACAGGCATACTTTCGACTCCTATTTAAGTTGCCCACATAGTAGTATATTCACCATCTTTTTGTAATTTGCCCTCAAAAGCATAAGTGAAATGAGGGAGAAATTGCATTTTACAGCAAATTATATGGACAGACTGGCAGGGTGAAAGGATGATAACAGACAACAGTAGGGAGCTGGAGATCAGGGTAGGGGAGGCTTAGGATGTGGATACAAAATAACAAGGAATATTTGTATAACCGGCACCAGAATTATAAATTGTGGGAGGTATAACACCTCACCTAATTATGTTAGTTTCTGGAAAAACTATGAAACTGCATACTTACATATAGAATGGCCAGCTGGTGGGCAATGTATTTATGGTCTTGTAAATTGTGTAAGTCGGAATTAATTTGCATGGAAAGAGAAAGCAGCTGATTCATACAGGCAAGGTCCTGATAGTAACCTGTTACAGAATAATGGAGAAAAAATAATCATTACTATTACTACATGGACAGGAATATTTCAACTTGAGTGCAAGAGCTTGGCTTGTCATTTATAGACCTTATATTTGGTTTGAGGTTTTTTGGGGTTTTTTTTTGCAATTTTTATTAGAATTAATCCAAAGAACCTATTAGCATAAAGACATATGCTTCAAGTCAAGCTCATATTATTGAAAAATTAATAAAATCAGATACAGGGTCGATACAGAAAAGCCCTTTGATACTGAATTATGTATTAATGATACCTACCATCTAAACCAGTTTTCTTATCCAACAGATTAAGGCCATCAGGTCTGGAGAGAAAAGTTGCTGCCCTTGGGAATACCCGGTCTAAACCTCGCCATACAATGTATTGCTGTAGAATCACATGTGAAAGTAGTTTTAGATGACTGATACAAGACCTTCATTTTAAGTTTCAGAGTTCTCAGTTGTATTCAAGAAAATTATCTTCATGAGAAAATGTATACACTGTCAAGATTAATTTTTGAAGTCAAAATTACACATAAGCAGATAACTGTGTATATTTGTATATAAATGATATGTGGAAATGTCATTATCAGTTTATCTTTAAGGAGGCAGTATGTCTGTCATATTTATGCAGTTTACTGATTAGTTTTTATGTTGAGTTTAATTAAACATTGTTATCTAGGTGTTCACTTGAGCAGCCAATCTACAGCATCGTCTAGAGAACATTTGAGTAACAAATATGATGTCTTAGTTAGAGCAGTGTTGAATCAATAATAGTATTAGAATGTAGATAAATTAGAATTCTTTACATTCTATACATACAGTGAACATAAACAACCAGAAAACTTACTCCAAGACTCATATCCTGCTTCTGTCTCAGGAGAAGTTGCTTCATTCGGTCATGGACAACTGTAGCTAAAAAAATATTTCAAAGTGTTGGCTAAATTTCATTTACACATATTTTTGTTTTAAAATCTAAACTCAGACATTTTAAAAATAAAGAGATTGTCATATTTATGAATTTATAAGTCAATACCTGTTTTACGCTCATCAATATAAATAGTGTTCAGTAAAATAACAAATCAAGGTATTTCAAAGCCTACCCATCACAGTGCTAAGTCATGCCTCCTACCTTTGTCGGTGAATTCACTGCTAACTTTTCCCAGCTCTGACTTTTTTCCATGTTGCTGAAATCAGATATGTAGTAGCGTGTAATTTCAATATACTTTTAAAAACTGACTTATTGTACACTGTTCTTCATCTCAAACACCTAATCGATTTGAATAAAGAATTATTGTAGATAGTAATTTGTTGTGTTCTTCTAATATACTGTTTCATCAAGCATCTTTGAAACACTATTTGCACTACTGCAGTTTTTTATGATACATTAGGCTATATTACAGACAAATTCAATTCATTTCCGCACATAAATTTATCCTGATAGAAGCAAATTCACCACAGACAGAATGACCCTGTTTTGTAGGACAGTTAGTCTACTGTAAAAGGATGCAACATATAATCTTCTATTACATCTCGGAGTTCCTTCTTGCACAGCACGTCTAACTGTGAACAGAGAGACATCATCTCAATCTCAATGTCTGTTGGACTTGCTTCCCCTCCTGTAAGTGGCTCATGTAATCTGACATCCACTGTCAAATGAAAAGAAAATGACTGAAATTCATGTTTCTGCACAGTATTTCACACTGATAACAACTACACATGACTGAAACTCATGTTTCTGCACAGTATTTCACACTGATAACAACTACACATGACTGAAATTCATGTTTCTGCACAGTATTTAACACTGATAACAACTACACATGACTGAAACTCATGTTTCTGCACAGTACTTAACACTGATAACAACTACACATGACTGAAACTCACGTTTCTGCACAGTATTTCACACTGGTAACAACTACACAATTGCTGATTTTAATAGCTGAAAAACTTGGACTGACTAAGACACTGAACCTTCAAAATATATTAAGAGTTTGCGACAATTATCTTGCTGCTGTAAAAGCCACTTTTCCTCTTCATCTTATGTTCTTTCATAAACATGCTTCTGATATTAACATTATGGGATAACTATATATATATATATACACACATCATCATTTGCTTGGTCCAAGTTACGATGACTTTCAATAAACTTTTTTACATCATCTTGGGTCAATTCCAGACAAATATTGAAAAAGGTTGATAGAACATCAGAATAATTCTGACTAATTTCTGCTCTGAGATAAATCTGGAACGAAGATAAAACTGCATACGTTCATGACTGATTTAAGGCTGCCTTGATGCTTTTCATGATTTTCGGATTTCATATCATTAAAGGAAATGGCGTAATGTGAAGAAGAAAACAATACAGGGTTTTTTGTTTTTGTTTTTTTGTTTTTTCGTTACAGCACAAGGATGAGATGATAAAACTAAGTAACAGTGATAAATTAGATATGGAGTCAGTGACAAACACATAAATTGTCTACAAAGATTATTAGTTGATTGCTTCACTCAATGAGAAGAACAATTTGAAATGTTGATGATGATGATGATGATGATGATGATGATGATGATGATGATGATGATGATTGACGATATGTCATGATCAATAGGATGAGATGGTGATGATTAAACATGATCATGAAGATTTGTTGACAATTCAATTATTTAAACAGTGTGAAATCCAATGAGCAGCCATAATAAAATCATGAAAATGTATGTGCGTCAATTTCTGAAAAAAAGGTTTCACTGTTATCGATGCCGATGGAAAGATTGAAGTGGTATGGTTTATACATTTGTGTAAAAGTAAACACATAGCCCTCTCCCTTGAACACTCTGAAGATAAGACAGTAGTGTAATGAAGATTTCATGAGTTAAACATCAATCCGAATTATCCGTGCAATAACTTATTGAGTTGATATATACCTTTGAATGATGGAACATAGTGCATGGGAACGACTAGAGGAGGAGCACAGGCAGCAGCCATGTTGTCGCTTTTCGCATTATAATCTGCGTCACCCAATTGCTTTTATTAAGCAAGTATCAAGTAAAGCGCCAGTATGAGTAAGGTAGGTTAATTGAGATAGCAAACTGTTGAGTTATACGGACCACAATTGCAATCGGACGTTTAGGAAAGTGTGAAAGTGCATCCATTATTGGTTCATACGATTAGACAAATTCATATTTTTGTATTCAAATCTTTATTTACAATTATTATAATAAGGCCTTAGACACCTGTTCATTATTAATAATTCTGTAAAGCGGATGGATCACACGATTTCTTCCGTAATGTCAGATTTTGAGAGAGTTCATGGCGATGGACAGAACAGCTAAATATAGTTATGAAGCTGATTCCAAAGCTACCACCAACAGTGACTTTGTCGACGTTGCTTACTTCTGACACTTTAACGTAGACATGCTCGTCCGCGAAAGGCCGTAATAGTGGACGTAAAACCCGTTAAATAAAATAACAAAAATATGATAAATAAAATAAATACTCAACCGCACTTCCACACATATAAGAAGCTTTATTTCATTATGATAAACAAAGCTTCGATGTATTTAATTAATTGTCCCATATTCACTGTTCAACCCCCCATTTCAGCTTTGGATTTTTTTTATGGCAATGCCATGTAAACACGTAATTTGATGTTGAGAATATCGACTTTCTTACTAAGATTACATTTTAAATAGTCGATTGAATTAACCGACTACAGTTTAGAAATTTTGTTTTCATATGAATACCGGCGACTCGCCGGCTGTGGGCAGGTTAACGTTCTCTTCAAGATTTACAATGGAATAAAATGACTAAACATACAGTGTGACAATTTCATTGAATTTATGAGAGGTAGGATCGTATATATACGTCCCTGTGAGAGGTAACTACACATACCAACATACTTAAGAAAATACTCGAATAAGGTCAGGAGGCGTGTCAAATAGTCTCGATCTTATCATCAGTAAAGATCGTACATTATGTAGAGTGCGATTGCACAACAAAGACAATTACAATGAGAAGAAAGAGGATCTTCAGTAAGTAAACTGGAATTTGAGACGATAATTACCTAAATATCGCCAAAGACATCAATGGATAAATCTATACAAACGAACAGAAATTTTCCACAAACTCATTAAAACGTACACTAAGTGAAGAAATTACCGGAACAGTTGTAAAAAAACGGGACTTTGTCATGTCATTTATCCATCTGCATTATCTCTACGCAACATAACTTATAGAACGCATGGCTGATGGCACGCTGCCTTTCTCACAAAAGACCTCTTGTGCTTGTTAGCACACCTAGTCCGACTTCTTTTCAATAACCAAAAGGCGCAGGGTCATGGTATTAGATCAGTAGCATGCTGGGATGAAGGCTACCAAGTTTCTTCAAATGAATGACCTTGACCTATTTTCAAGTTTACGGGGGTCAAATGTGTTGAAAACTTTTAACGACAACTTTTCAGTAATCACGGGTCATATGATATTAGGTCGGTAGCATGCTGGGATGAAGGGTTATTATGTTTGTTGAAATAAATTACCTCTACCTTCATTCAAGGTCACAGGGGTCAAATATGCTAAACAGAGTTCCGTTTAATTGAAAATTAAGCCTTCAAACAATAAAACACTTCGTTAGTATATTTATATCAGTTCAGTTCTGTCTGCCCCAATGCTGATGAACTAACTCTAAAAGTGTCCAAATACCTGAAGACCTCAAGTGATTTTTAAGACACACGAGCCTCTTGTAATTGGTTTATTTTCACATTTCCATATGGCTTTTACAAAAACTCTAAAACTTTCATTGCCTAACCTTAAAATAACTTGACAACAATGACAAACCACAAGGAAATGAAATCTACCAGGTAGATGGCCATAATACTACTGATGCTTTTGGTAAACTTTTTATCAGATATGTTAGAAATTATCCAAGACAGATCGGGAAGAGAACATGTTCTCCACAAACTGCATGATTATCCCTTCGAAGGATGGTAGGGCAGACGGGCCCAATGGGTCGACTGGGAACAAAAACCGTGTGGAATCCTGGTTATCTGTTAGTCTCTGCTTGGGTTTGCATCGGAAAACTAGGAGTAGAAGCCACGTTGTATCATGTTTGTCTGTTAGTTTTTATCGTTTTATCTCAAGGACCAAGGAGGAAGTCATTCTAAATCCTAGTCAGTAGTCTCCACTATATCTCTACTATGGGAGAGCGTCATAAGTTACATCTGTTAGTTTCTAAACGTATCTCTCGGAGAACAAGAAACATGAGTGACGTCAAATCCAAGTCATAGTTGTTATATCTGGACATTTCCCATGTATTGTGTACCTGCGCTTCGTGTTTCATTCTTTATTTCCGTAAACTTCACACAATACACAAGTTCGTAAGTTCGTTTCGTTCGTTTTATTGCAACAGGTTCCGAAAATTTGTAGTTGTGTTTGCGCTATTTTTATTGACCGGTTAGACCAGTTGGAATAGATTTGTTCGTTCATGAAATATGAGCTTACTTACTGATCTTATTTTGATTTCTGATGAATGAAGACCAAGATTATCGTGGCCGTCAGTCAGAATTTCTGGTCCGTCCTGATTTGTGCCTGAAATGTTACTTGTAACAAACCATCCAACCGGGCTGTCCGCATAAACGAATAAACCCAATGTAAACATTGTAACAGGGAAGTGATCCGCGCGGAGTAAACAGTGTCCCATATAGCGTATGGGTAGCGTACAGATTTCTTATCTAGACACGTATGCAAGATTGTAAACGCGTATATAGGTAAGTGATTATATACACATATATAGAAATAGCGAATGTAACTTTAGTAAGGTGGTTGTTATGTTTATATGTCATTTCAAAGGAAATTTCATAAACCTTAGAATAAAATTAAATAAAAATAATCTGTCAGTCACGTGCCTGCAATAAACTTTCTCCTTAACTGAAACAGACGAAGGTACGGGGGTTTTAACCAATCGACAGGTTGGGAGTTCCACTGACCTAGATGTTCAATGCAAATCACACCGAGTGCGTTCGGGTGGGTTTGATTATAGCGTTCGGTGTGGTCTACCATTTCAGGATAAATTCGCTTCACTGGAAATTCATATTGTTACACACTACTCAGTACTGTCACATCGATAGTCAGATGGACCGTTTTAAGAAGAGAGCAAAGAAGCTAGTAGTATTTCTATAGTGTCTTTTAACCATTTAAAGGTGATAGCATGAGGTTTGGATTAATGACAGCTCTCTGACAAGTACCTGTATTTGTCACGTGTTTCTTCGGTCCATCGCACAGTGCTAATGAGATACGTGTACACGATAGTATCAATCATATCTTTGACAGATGTTATTGACACACCAATCAAACAAAAAAAAAATTTTTTTTTTTAATCCTTGCCATTTAACTTTTCTAATGCCATCGGTATGGGACCAGAGGTATACTGACCACATCCAGAAATTTGATAAACTACAGTATACACTATTTAAATTTACATAAAGCCACCTAAAGTGATGTAAAGCGACACATCAGAAAATATCTCAAAACACTGGATATAGTAGTAGATAACAAAACATAGGAACATAATACGCATCATGTTTGGAAAAGAGATCGAGATCAGGAGAATTTAATTGTCCTCTATCTTCGGCGGTTAACATATTTATGGTGTATTTACGTATATAAAGACTAATTAAGATAAACGACTTTAAAAGATTTGTTGTTCATTTCGTTATGATACATAAATATAAAATGTTTGTTTCTTCAGTGTAAATAGAATCTGTCTTAAAATATTTATTAAACTAAGCTCAGTTGGTAGATTGTTAACCAGACTTCTGGTGAAAATCCAAGGTGTGTGGTTCGTGGGTGCGGTTTGCATTTTTCATGAAACTCATGATAAACTGACCTTGTGTTGTGTCATCTAATACGATACTTAACACTGATTGGGGAAGTAACTGCTCGGGATAGCATGCAATGGACCTCCCGTATGTTGTTCAGCGAGGTAGTCACAAGCTTTTACCAGGAGACCCGCCTTAAAATGATTTTGGATGTTCAAGCAAAAAGCAATCAAACAAAAGATAAAACTAAATTACCATCCCATCGGGATAGAAAATTTAATCAATTATAGTTGAGGGCTGGCATTCCGTAACAACTCTCAGTATAGTTGAAGAATGACACAGAATGTAGAATTTCTATTTTTTTTATGTCTGTTTGTAAAGGATATATGGCCTGTCATACGATAGTTCACAAAAGGAAGTGAGTGTTGATAGCTTGAAACGTTTCTATCATTTTCAAATTTTATATCTAAATTCTCCAATTCTTATATTTATACAGATATATGAAAGACCCGCTGCTGATTCTAGTCTTGATCATGGCTTTTCTTCAGTCACGAAGCTCCGCGAAAATATTTAGAGATGATAAACTACATGCAGATTTTCAGACTTCAAACACCGATTTTGCATTGGAGATTTACAAACGCTTGACTAAGAAATCCACCGATGGGAATTTATTCTACTCCCCCTTCTCCATCTCTGCCGCCATGTCAATGGTCTATCTTGGTGCCAGGGAGCAGACGGCAGCACAGATGGTTCCCGCGCTTAGTATTCAATCTTTAGATCAGCGAGTACACGAAGCTTACGAGGACTATTTGAAAGTTGTGTTGGCTAGAAGTGAAAACGTCACACTGCAGATTGCCAATAGATTGTATCCCGACATCAAGACAGAAATCGTTCCATCTTTCATTGATCTTTGTGCAAAGCACTACCTAGCCGACACTAAGGCCATGGATTACGGACAGTTTGAAGCCGCAAGGAGAGAAATTAACGACTGGGTAAGCAAACAGACAGCTGAGAAAATACAAGACCTTTTGCCACAAGGATCTTTAAATCCATTGACTGTTATGGTATTGGTGAACGCTATCTACTTCAAAGGAGACTGGGAGACAAAATTCGACGACAAAGTTACCAAGGATATGACCTTTCATAGCCTTAAAGGTCAAGAGAAGACTGTGAAAATGATGTTTCAAAAAGCTACCAAGTTTCCGCTTAAACACGATGATGAGTTAAAATGCGAGGTTTTGGAATTGCCATACAAAGGAAACAGTCTTTCAATGGTTATTATTTTACCCGATGATAGAGATGGATTGTCTGCCCTTGAAGAGAAGTTAACTCCGTCTGCATTGAAAGGACTGATGACAGACATGCCACCTATAAAAGTAGAAGTGTTCCTACCGAAGTTTAAACTTAAATCTGGCTTTGAGCTTTCAGAAGTTTTTCAACAAATGGGAATGAAAGATCTGTTTGACAAAACCAAAGCTGACTTGTCTGGTATCGACGCCTCCAGGATGTCATACGTGTCCGCCATATTTCATCAAGCTTTCGTCGATGTCAACGAGGAAGGAACAGAAGCGGCTGCTGCCACTGCCGTCAGAATGATGAAAAGATCTCTTCCACGACCACCATTGCAGTTCAAAGCCGATCACTCATTTATGTTCGTTATCAAAGACAATCGGTCGGACACAATTTTGTTTGTAGGAAGGTTTGTCGATGTTGTTGAAACCCGCGTAAAGGACGAATTATAGCATGGAACTAGTCCGTCAGTCTGTTTTGTTTATACAGATTTTGTATTGCTTAAATAATTTCATTTCATCTCATAGCATTCAGTCTTTCCTTAGTAGCATATGTTATTCTTTTCATTATTTAAAGTTTTAATCGTGTTCAAATTGATCTATTTGGTTCCCACTGACTTCACCTTTACATGTGGGATACATTATTTTAATATTGTTCAAATTAACTAATTTTCAGCTCAATTTTAAGACAGGGATTCCTCTATCTATGACTGTTCAAGATGTCTTTCTTTGTTTTATAGACGAAGCTTTATTATGAGTGGTTATAGAATGTGCTTTTATGTCCTTGTTTCGGTTATCTATTGGGAGCGAAAACAAATTGTGCGCGCAGGAAGTGTAAATAAGCGAATTATTTCGGTTGGCCAGTTCACATACGTGTCAGTGGGGTATGTGATTTTATGGATAAAATTTGACATGGCGCGTTTGTCACGCACGCGAATGGAAAGATATTGCTTAGATAGTGTCACAAAGAAAACATGTTGAAACAACTGTTAAGCTAGAAACACGTTGAAAATCTGTAGAAACGACTGCTTAGGTAGTGACACAGTTAAAGTCTGATGAAACGACTGCTAAGCTTATGACACGGTGAAAGTCTGTAGAAACGACTGCTAAGGTAGTGACACGGTGAAAGTCTGTTGAAACGACTGCTAAGCTTATGACACGGTGAAAGTCTGTAGAAACGACTGCTAAGGTAGTGACACGGTGAAAGTCTGGAGTGTTAAGATATTGGAAAAACTGTAGAATCTACATGAATAATTGATTTCCTTCTTTCAGTAGAATGCTGAATTCAACAAACATACGATTGATTAAAATATATGACAATATATGTTCACTTGTTTCTGAAATAAATTATTATAAATACCAGATTTTCCATGCGTTATCTAAATTATAAATGGTAAGAGGGTGTGTGGCATCATACTTGGGGTTGGCTCTTGATAATTTTTTAAAGCATACAATATAAAGTGTTGAAAAAGCTACATTCGGACCGTGTTCTTCTCGTTTCGAGCCTATGCTGGTCTTTTCATCAAAACCTTCGTCTCGTTCCAGTAGAACCTGTCTATTATCATGACCTTTGAACTCTTGGTACCTTGAAAGTGGGTCAATATCATTTATGCGAACAAATATGAAAGCTTTATACAGGGCCTATCATTAACAAGAATGATATGCAACGAGGTTTGTTTTAGGTCCCATATCAAATACATGTATGTTACAATATTTCATTTACTTTTCAATAATCAAAAGGTCCATGGTCATAGTATTTAGGTAGAAGCATAACGTTGGAAATACTTGTTCTATTGAATTTCACAGGGTTAATATTAAATAATGAAGGTTATTATATTTGGCCGGCAGCATGCTAGAATGAATCGTTACAAAAACAAGAAAATATCTGCACGAGAACAAAAAACTAATATTCAGTAGAACTTAGAGCAAATATATACAAATCAAGTACAAGGAAAATAAGACCAGGTGTTCCAAAGCAGAAATCGTCTTCGCTTCATCGATGGACCACGCCATGTAAATCTTGGTTAATCCAAGTAAGCAATATCATGTTCCCAAAGTAGATCAATTTATACAAAACCAACTTGCAAACAACTGAGCATCAAATATGTCCAGGACCTCTCCATAATTTCCATTACCCTGTATCTTTCGAAACCCTGTGTTGTGCGAGTTTGTTTGTTAGCTGTCACGAAAATCGTAATATTGGTAACAAGCCCATTAATATCAAATCAACTGCAACATTTAAAGACGAGAGTCTGGGGATGCAGGGATGTTGCTATTCAGAAATGAATAATTAATAATAAGGATACAGCTGTGAAATCTGGTCATGATGGTTTCGTTGTAGTAAAAATTCAGAGTAGCTGTCGATGTAGAAGAGTCTATCGTGTCCTTGTTTTCCAGTTCCGGTTGGTATATGCTGCAGTCAAATGATTGACCTTTTTCCACTTTCGTGATCACCTAGCTAATGTGTCACAATCAATCCTTTTTTATTAAGTAATAGGTCGTGTCTTGTTGTTTTATTGGAACATTTATACATTGTACTGTAAAGTATTATGGTGTTTGTAGTATTGTAATGTTTGTTATGACACGACAGATAGTCGGCATCAGAACAAATTCTGCAAATAATGTCTCTTTATAAACTGCAGAACATTATCTCAACACTGTCTCTAGCAATGAAAAGGAATTATATTAGCACGACATATGATATGAGGAGTGTTTAAGCGAAACAATGCACATTATAGTATATTTTAGTCTCCAACTCCATGGTCGACTCTAGAGTCGGAAAATAAGACACGAAAATTCAAAGAGTTTTGAACCATTGTATACTCTTACTCATTCAAAAAGATCTAACAAGTAACATATTTATATGACATGGTTGCACATCATGAAATGAAAGAAAGAATGAAGATAACACAGAAAATAAATACTAAAATCACTGTAGAAAATATCCGTGGTACAGAAACTCGTCAATCATGCGATTATGTAAGTAAATGTGACTAATTAAAGTCTGGCATTACACAAACGGCATTATATCACATAGACTGCCTTATTGTGATTACAAATTATGAAAACGTTTGTGCGAAGAGTAAGGAATTTCATAATGGAATACAACTGAAAACACATTTATTAGTTCTATATTCTACCTTCGAGTATTTTAACTTCGTCTCACGTAGATAGACCATATACTTTTCATTTCAGTTTAAAATGTAAAATGCATTCTTTCTTTTTCCAATTTTCAAATAGAAACGTCGAACGATTCATTATCACCATGTACAACCACCATCCCGGGGTCGAAATGTGAGAACCAGAGGCTGCAAGTGAAAGTGCATGAAGTCGGACCACACCGATGTGTTGAGATTAGTTCACGCCCTTACCTGTGGCTGAATACTGCATGATTATTTCAAACACTGTCGCTAGACGGAGTGAATTCTAACAGCTTTTAAATGAGTATTTCTCTTGTAGCAATGTCATGTGCAAACATGATGTTGGGCGTAACAACTTTTAAGAAAGAATTCATTTCAAATAGTCGTGTGGATCAATTGACTTTATTCATTATATCTGTTTCTGTTCAAAATTTCACGTGGACATCGAGGCCTTGGCGACTGTGGGCAACACACTGCGTTTGAAGACGGACATATATTTCGATTACGTATACCGTTTATGCATGCTTGTCGATTACTGGAGGCAATGATCAACGATATGTATATATAAAACATCCGGCAACTTGTGTACTACACAATGTAGTAGTACCAACACTAAAATTGAGCTTAATTTTGAAATGTATAAAGTAGTTTTGATCTTTACGAAAATTAGTGATTTAAGAAGAAAAACAAAATGTTAACTTTCTGTAATGTTAAGCAATAGCAAATATAAAGGCAAAATACATTTCACATACCACCTTAGGCAATGCGCAATAGAAACAGTTGCGGTCAGTGATACGGTTTACGTAAAAATGTAACAAGCGGCACACACTGCTACCGGAACAGCACACGATTGAAGGATCATGTTTCAATTTATGTCCCGAAAACTGTGTCTAACCTTAGTGTAAATGTACCAAACCACAGTGTAAGTGTGCCAACCACAGTGTAAGTGCCAACAAACAAGTATGCATCCGTTACGATTAATGACATGTTATGCTTATTTCTCAAATGCTGATAAGACATTTCGCCCCAATAGTTGTAATATGTAGGAGGACATTTCGTCCCTATTACCGTATTGTGACCAAATTGAACGTTTCATGTATGTTTTACATTGACACTACTTTATATTTGATTATATTTTTATAGGCTACCTCAGCAACTGATTTGAGGGCATTTTATTGGATTTGCCGGTAAGATGGTTGTCGTTGTTTAAGTGTATATCTGTAGTTTTACCGTACCTAGATCCAAGCCCATTGTTCTTCAGATTCTTAACCGTGGTCCTACCTTATCAGCTGTTTCTACCGTGTCACTAGCTAAGAAGTCGCTTGTACAGATGTTCACCTTGTCACTATAGCTCAGCAGTCAATTCTTCAGATTTTCACCATTTCTCTTCCTTAGAAGTCGTTTATACAGATTTTCTCCTTGGCACTAGCTAAGAAGTCGTTTGTACAGATTTTCGCCGTGTCACAAACTCAGCAATCAATTTTTCAGTGGTTCTAGCTTAGCAATCGTTTCTACGAATTTCACAAAAAATGCCAAGAAAATACCATCATTGCAACGTAATCATAATTCAAACTGAAATTCCTTAAAACTATGGCAAATTATAAACAAAAGAAATATCTATACGGAGTCTCCTGAAAAAGTACAACGAGAATAAGATCAGGTCTTCCGGTAAGAGTAAGTGTCTTTTTTATTGACATTCGATAACCAATTATAATAAGGCTAGATATATCAAACAAGGAAGGACAAAAAGAACCATCATAAAAAGGCGAATCCCTTTCTACAGAATTCGAATTGATAAAGAGTTGATTTGAACACTATTAGATATAATATATGCCACACGAACGTGATGTCACTGGGAACTAACCAAATCAATTGATGCACGATAAAATAATTGGCATTTTTCTGAAAAAGGAACAACATATGGTACGCTGTGAGGAAAGATTAACTGCTAGGAGTTGAAATGAAATCTTATAAGCAATATCAATTCTATATAAACAAAACAAAGTGTTTACGAGATGCCTTCCGGTAAGGTAGACTAGTTCCTTCTTATAATTCGTTCTTTTAGCGGGTCTCATCAACATCGACAAACCTTCCCACAAACAAAATTGTGTCCGACCGATTATCTTCGATAACGAACATAAATGAGTGATCGGCTTTGAACTGCAATGGTGGTCGTGGAAGAGATCTTTTCATCATTACGACGGCAGTGGCAGTGGCAGCAGCCGCTTCTGTTCCTTCCTCGTTGACATCGACGAAAGCTTGATGAAATATGGCGGACACGTATGACATCCTGGAAGCGTCGATACCAGACAAGTCAGCTTTAGTTTTGTCAAACAGATCTTTCATTCCCATTTGTTGAAAAACTTCTGAAAGCTCAAAGCCAGATTTAAGTTTAAACTTCGGTAGAAACACTTCTACTTTTATAGGTGGCATGTCTGTCATCAGTCCTTTCAATGCAGACGGAGTTAACTTCTCTTCAAGGGCAGACAATCCATCTCTATCATCGGGTAAAATAATAACCATTGAAAGACTGTTTCCTTTGTATGGCAATTCCAAAACCTTTTTAAGTCATCATCATGTTTAAGCGGAAACTTGGTAGCTTTTTGAAACATCATTTTCACAGTCTTCTCTTGACCTTTAAGGCTATGAAAGGTCATATCCTTGGTAACTTTAAATTTTGTCTTCCAGTCTCCTTTGAAGTAGATAGCGTTCACCAATACCATAGCAGTCAATGGATTTAAAGATCCTTGTGGCAAAAGGTCTTGTATTTTCTCAGCTGTCTGTGTGCTTACCCAGTCGTTAATTTCTCTCCTTGCGGCTTCAAACTGAAGACCCATTACCATCGCCTTTGTCCGGCGTCGTGCGTTGTCTGTCGTAGTCAATTTTAGATATTAGAAACGTCTGGGACATCCCTGTATTAGTTTCCAAGTATGTACCTATACAGTCGGTGGAATACTGCTAATCCATTGTCATCATCAGCCGGGTCCATCAGTCTCTGGACGTTTCAACCACTGTCCCGGAACGTCCTCGTGATGGTGGGTCGACAGTGCCGATCAACTCACTGCCTGTCAATGGATGGCTTCCAGTCTTTCTCCTCTCGTCTACTCCACAGCCAGCATGATGCGCGTTCCGCAGCCTCCGCTAGTCTGCGCACCACCATCTTCCGTGTCCTCCCGACCACACCCAAAGCCTGAAACGTCTTCCAGACTGAGCGTGCCGGGAACCCTCTACAGCCTACCTCCACAGGGAACAGCCAAGTGCGCCACCCTCGTTCCCTACACTGTTCCATGAGGTCTGCATACTTGGCTCTCTTTCTCTCGTTGGCCTGGTCACATCGCTCTTCCCAGGGTACAGTCAGTGTGTTATGTACTCCTTCGAGTCTGCGTGGTTCATCTTCACAAACGTATCCATGTACAGTAAAACTCACTTGTGTCGAATACGCATGACTCGAATACATCGGATGAGTCGAACGTTGCGTTCGGTCCCGATTTTTTCTCCTCTTTATCTTAGTAAATTAAACACGGATGAAACGAACACTGTTGAATCGAATACTGTGGTTGTGTCGAATATATTTTGTGGTCCGTCCCTTCTAAATCGTACAAAAAATTCCATGTTTGAGTCGAACATTCAGACGCCACGTTGTCTCAGGTAAATTTTCCTGGTCGGTAACGTGTGTGATCGGTCAGCCGTAACGGTGTCAACAGGCCTACATGCTCCATGCAATTTCACGGTATCGATCCACTTAATCCTTTTGTTTATACAGGTGCCCAGGTAATTATCTCATTTAACCAAGAACTGCGCGATCAAACAGCCATTGAAATAAAACATCTCATGTTTATTTTTTGCCCGTGAGTTGTTGTGAGAATATTTGTCTCAACGATCCAAATACTATAAATGTGAGTACAATATGTGTAAATGTATGTTTTTAAGTATTGTTTTCACGAAGTACCCAGTGTAACGTGTGTCTTTTGTTCAATCTTGTATGCATTATCCACGTGTTTGTGACAATGATGGTTACAGTAACTGTTCTTTTTATTAATACCTTGCTATCAGACACGATCGGCGAAAATATGGTCAGTTTAAATATACGATGTCTCGATTACAGGCGATAGACAAAAACACGGTTTTACTTGGTCCCTTCGACTTATCCGAGGTTTACTGTACTTAACTTTACTGACTTATCGTTAACACGAGATGATTTGACACATTTTTGACGGATGTGTATGGTCCCGCCCGAATGAAACTGGCACATTATCAATGGTCGTAATCATGGAACCAGTCTGACGATCAACACACCTCCAATAACACCTCTGGCCACGATGAGATTTCACAGAATATTTGTTCCCCGCATGAACAAGAAAAAAAAAACCCGGTTATTATCCAGAAAATCAACATGTAGCTGAGCATTAGCCATGTTGAAACTGTTTAAAGATTTAGAAATCAACTGTCTTATATATTCTATCTACATGGCTTAGATTGAACAATATCTCTAATCAGTTTTTTATTAATAATCAAATTATCTAATAAGCTTTGATTAATATTCATATTTTCACACTTCAGTACTTTGATAAATATTCACTAACATTTTAATTATTTTATAACTAACTGATAAGGCATAAAACTGTTCATGAAAACAAAGACAATTCTTTAATATACACAAGCTTGGATGCTTTAATGCAATTTTGGGGTTAATTCTAGGTGTGGTTAATTAATTGAAACAAACTATAACCCTCAGGTAAAGAGGTGTGATACCTACCTGTACCTGTGATATTTTCAAATGTGGGCTAGGTGGGAATAAACCGAATTTTTAAGTTAGTACAACTATTAAGTGTAGAAAATGTAAAGCAATTGACTTACTTAGGAAAATATATACATTCTGCGCTGAAAAAGAGAAAAGAACTGCTTAACTAGTTCATACAGTATATCATCCTATTATATATGTATACATCCGATATATTTTTGTTCTCTGTATACTTTGTACATGTACGTGGGTCCTCTCTCCAATGTTAATGATAATATGTCATCATTGTATTAAATATGTAAACTTATGGACCGTAAGGTCCTTTGAATAAAATTGAATTGAATTGAATTGAATCGGGAATGAGTCCGTGACTGGGTTTATTAATTGTATGATATCTAATAAGGTCGTGGGACCGTTCAAGGCCACATCCCATACATAGGCATCGAGTTTTATATGATTAATGTTTGGTGTTCGTTTGAACGAAGTGAATAAGAATAATTATAACAGACGTTTTGGTAATCGATAAATCGTTTGAATGGAACGTTTACACATAGCGCATGGTGCATGGCGACTGAGAAACACAATGGATATATGTCATCCTGAACCTTCAGGTCAGGTGATCTAAACATCGTCTGACCACCCAGATATGTCGGAATCAAATACTCTTTATGGATCGAAGAATCTTTGGTACTTTACCAAAAACATAAATCGTATGACCCACGGGTCTCTTATTTTCCCCTGTGGAGTAGATACACTTGTCTATACTTCTATAGGAAAATAGCATTTTTAAACGTCATTTTTTATTTCCGTTGCAAATGATTCAAGGTTAGTTATAATTATTAGCATATGGGTATTTTGGTGTACAGAATGGAAAAATAGAATATTCTGAGAGATTTGTTTGTTTGTTTGTTTTTTTTTTTTTTTTGCGAAGAGGGTGTATACTTTAGTATCTTAAATTACGGAATGAACTTCCGTACCAAGTTACTAAGCGTGTCTTATATTCAGATAGGCACAAAACTGACCAGTATGACGTATCTCTGGAAATACAAACATACAACAACTCAGTTCAGTCACTGTTATAATGCGTTCGCTTTTTAGGCAATGCTCATTTCAAATTCACTACAGCCAAATTCAAATATTCCCACGCTTTGTTCGGGTTCAGAATCAATGGATGTAGAATCGAGTTGTGTACATATATAAGTGAGTTATTTTATCTGTATGAACTAGTAGAAACGTCTGTATCGCTGTGAGGTCTCGCGATATCGAAGGTTAAGAGGAGACATGAAGGATTACTACAAATTGATACCTCCTCCAGAACAAGAGGCAATTCAAAAAACGTTTAAAAATAAAACGTTGCAAGATGGATGTTCGAAAATATTTCTTTACATTTAGAATCGTCGATATTCGGAATGACCTGCCTGAGTCGGTTATTAGATCCAAAACAGTGGTAGAGTTTGAAATTAATTTAGATAATTATTGAAGAAATCGGGAGATCAAATTTAATTACTTAGCCAGTTCTAAATCAGTCACCAGAGGTTTAACCTAATATACTATGTATTTTATACTGCATACTAGTAATGACATGGGTATAGACGCAATTTAATGCCTGCGTATCCTATTGTATAAGTAAGGATTAAAACATATGTAATGGTAATGAACGAGGCCTTCCGTGTGTAAGCTAACCGGAATCCTCCATACCGTACTTAAAATACAATGCCATTTAACAACAACACCTGGGCATGGATTTTGCCTCAGAGACATATTCTGATTGTTACTCTAAATAAATTATGAAATGTGTTGCCACCATTGTTATTGCAGTGTGGACTGTCTTCCCTTGGGATACCTGCCCACCATCCTGTGTGAATGGGAGTTTACACCGGGGTCAAGCTTGCTTGTTTACGGTAATACAGGCTTGACCGTTGTTCGTGGTCAAGGCCTGGAATGTCCATTCATGTTATGTCCTCGTTAAAGCGTTGTTATTGGCGTCAGGAACAAACAAATAACTGACTATGGGGAAAGGTAACTATTAATTCCCTACACTCAGATAGTTACAACCACCTACTAGTCGAATTATCGTGCAAGTCGCTGGAAATTCAAAAAGCGTTATTTTGTGATCAAGCGGTGTGTACATTCGCTCAGGTGAGACCAGGTAAGAGAGACGGGTCGATACTAATACACATGTGTGGCATCAGGCCTGTGTAGTTGTAGATGTGTGTGAATTGTGTACGTCTGTGTGGTCAATAGTACAACAACACTTACATTTAAGTAACATCTGTTTCAACTTGTATCGAATTATTGGACACGAAATTTGTCCGGAATATTACGGGATTTATATAAAGAAGACCATTAACACCTCGTGGACACAGCAGCGATAAAACCTCGTTCAAACTGTCTTGCACGGACTTGGTGGGGAGTGAGTAACGTTTGGATACGTTATCACACAACTTGTGTATCGGGTATGTATACATCTGTTTCCATTTAGCTAGTAAAATAAATATTGATTAATATGTGTACCTAATCGGGTAAAATATATCCACGTGGTCATTTCTGATAATAGGTGAGATTAAAACGATAATTACTGCAATCATGAACTCTTAAAAGTTAATTAAATATGTTCAGCTAGACATAAGTCATATGCTTCATCATAATGTATGTGCCAGAATGAGACCAGCTTAATTTATTACTTACATCAGTGGTCAGAGGCATTCTGTCCTTGCTGATCTACAACACATGTTCATGTATTAACTCGTTCCCTGGTAGTAAAAATAATTACCTAATGTCTATCTAAGCAATCTTTATGTGTAATGTATTGCGTTACCAACACTTAACTGATATCTGAATTTAAATCGACCTATCTTGCTTTGCGAAGAAAAGAGAAGAGCAGAGGTCAGACAGGAGAGAGGCTAGTCTCTGCTGGCTGGACGCCCGCTCGCTCGGGCTTTTGCACGTGCAAGAACACATCTACATCGATATATATTGATATCACGTTTTTCATCATAATCGGTCATTTCAGTAGTACAAGTAAATGATAAATGCAGGAAACTGTCTATTTATGTAGATATTTGACAGTGTTCGGCATTACGCCTATTAGACCGTCCAATA